AAGCTTAAATCGGTTATTTTCTTTTCATTCGTTAACTCTGCAAAAACATTTCTTCCTCACGTCGTTTACCGTTTGCATCCTTTCGTTTCCATAAAATACGTATATAAACTTTTCCAATCCCTTCTCAACTTTTTCGGGTACTTGAAGCGTGGTCCCCAGATTCGTAAATGTATTTAGGTAATCTATCTTTTTGCCATTTGTCTCTAAAAGCTATTTTCCCTTTTCAAAAAAATAGAAACATAGTCTTTTCCTGAAAAAGCAAGAAGACCGATTAGTGCTCTCCTCGTTTCTTAATGTCACAGTGTTGAAGACGCTACAATTACAATTTTCCTATTTAGACCTGTTCCGTTATCAATCAATACTTGAATTCCCGCAAAATCAAGGTCAACAAAGAGGGATAGGACATTGATATCCCCGGAAGGAAGGTGATCTGACAGAATCCCCAGTCCTTAGGTTTGCTGCTTTCACTAAAGCAATCAGCTTTGTATATGCTTTTTCGTGATTGCTCTTCATTATTTCATCTATGACAACTTCATCTTCCGTCACTTTAGTGCAATTGTTTTCGTTCGAAAAGAGGACGGTCTTTCCTTGTAACTAACTTTTGGCTTCTTTTATCGCTCTTTGAATTAATGTGCATGGTTCTGTTTTCTCCATTCTGTAGAAAATTAATAAAATTGCGAGGAACAATCATGTCTGGACTGCAACGTTATGCAATGGCTCAATCTGGCCAAAACTGTGATTGGCTGCTTTTGACCAGTAAGAATGTGAAGCATGCTTTGGAGTCAAGAACTTTCCCTTTGATACCGTATGCACAACATCTTGGTTAAGTGAACCAGCAAAACGATTAACTCTTTCACTAGAATTGTGATGGCTTTCTTTTAATGATAGTAACGCTTTAAAAAACACTTCCACCAATTTGGGACTTGGTGATGCTTCTCTAGATCCAAAGCTTTCAACAGTTGGAGGCCAAGAAAGAGGCAATCTATCATTGAGGAATATCAATATCAGTTCACTCAAGATAAAAGCAGCTCTTTTTACCATGAACTCTTGAAAGAAGCCGGATTTTTTGGATAGTATTGGAGCATGAAGACATACCTTACTTATAACAACTTGCGGTATTTGGAGCTGCACCTGGAAAAAAACTTATTATCTCCATATAGCTTCGAAAGCTCTTTTAGCTTATATCGGGTCTGTTTGCTTTCCAATTGTTTCATTGTTCTCTACAATGATGGTCTCCATTGACAAGCCCTGCTGACCTTCAACAATATCATTTTCAATCAACGACGGTACTGCATCAAAGTTACCAAATGTTTCATCGTCGTCGTCAGTAGATGTTACTGTAGAGGCTTTTTGTCGAATAATCTTGGTGTAATCTAAATAGCATTTTTTTATTGGTTTCTGAAACTGCAGTAATCATGTCATAGTCGTCTCTAACCTTTGCAGATTTTTTCAAAGTACTCTCACCAGCTTCTGTTACAATCTTAGATAGCGACTGTGGAATAGCATTCACTTTTGAAACCTTCTTCTTACATATCATACAAATGTCTGGAAAAAGCCTCCTTGGCCCGGCCTTCTTCACGTGTAAACTTCGCTTCTTGTTTCAGTCTCTTCGCCTTCCATTAACTTTCTCCTGATCAATGCTTTTGCATAAGTGAATCTCTGATAGCATCCTTGATCGTAGAATAACTCATCATGTTCAAAATGTTGTGCAAGGTTCTCGCATTGTTCTCTGTGATAATTCTCTTCACTAAGGTTTTGGTGAATTACGCTTTACCCAATCAATGATTAAGATTAAAAAGCTTCCTTAAACGAGCTTTTCGGACTTGCTTATTGATTCATAGTAAACGATACAAGTTCTTTTAGATGTCATTTAGCTGAAATGTTGATCGCAATCACCATTTCACAAAACCATCTGAGGATCTTGAGACATACCAACAACAAACATGAATCATAGGCATTGCAGTTTCATTTGCTTTCAGATTAGGTGTTACAATTTGGTGTACTGTAATGTGATGCAATGTACGATACTTTGTTAGAAGTGGAGCCAAAAAGACCCCCAAAAGGCCTCAAAACATTATTTTTTAGAATCAGTACACCACAATAACCCTATTGCGCTAAATTTGGAAAAATTTCTTAATTGGGAGGAATCTTATCAAGCCACTTCTGCCCTTTTGCGTGAAAACGAGATTTAAACAAGGAATTGAGGCCAAACGCCTCCTTATACGTACTTATAATATCGAATTTTGGAATCAGCATTCTAAAATTATCTAGATCCAATGAATTTTAGATACTTCCCCGAAGGGTGGACCCTTAAAAAGCAACTTGCTCTATTTTGATTGAAAACGAGACTTTGGTATGAAATAGAGGCTGAAGGCCCCCCAACTTGCCCGTATAACATCGATTTTCGGAATCAGCACCCTAAAATTACTCAAACCCACCTAATTAGAATTACTTCCCCGAGGGGGGACCCTACCCCCATTCTCCGCCTGGTCTACAAGGGTTTGCACACCAAAGAAGTTTACGACGCCGAGGGACGACAGTTCTTTACTGAGGGAACTGCGAAGTAATAGGGTTGAATCCTTACCAGACATCGTGTTGTCATGTAAAAAGAAGCTAAATAATGGAACATAAGCAAAAACATGGCTATAAAGTTATGTAAAATACAAATTTTCCAGCGTTATAAGAAAAACAAATGCTCTCTCAAAGTTAAAATTAATCATCGACAATGAGTTCAATGGCTTCTCCTTGAATGTTACGCAATTTTAAAAGTAGCTTGAATAAATGCAATAATTTAATAAATTTGTAGCATTTTCGTCGATGAAGTAAACTTTTTTTGAAGCTTAAAAGTTTGATTTTATAGTTTCTTTAATAATTTCTTTTGTTATGCAAACGTGAAATTAAAAAGTTGTATTTGTTTGGACAGCTCTAAAATTTTTGGAAGGTCGTGTGACTTTGCCATTGTTAGGCCATTCAGCCCTTCTGCATATTTTGCTGTTATAATCAGGAAAATCGAAAGAATCCTGTGTTTTCTTGGTTATTCTTCATAAGTTGAAGCATTTTGTTAACTTTTTATTCCATTTTGGGGAAACTTGGGCCTAGATTATTTGTAGAAAGACTGCCTAAATCTGAAAAAGTTTCCGTTGCAAAACCGAATCCAACGGAACGCCATAATTCGTTTATCGAATTCGTCCCAATACTTTTTGAACGTAAGTGTAGAAATGGAAGTAACTGATCTGCATCTCAAAACATTGACAAGGCACAAGCAAGACAAACAAAATATTATAGAGCTAGAAACACGATAAGTGGAAAGCCAGGTTTATTCGAAGAAGGGCAGCTGGTGCTTCTTCTTTATTCACAAAAGGTGTCAAAAAAGGTTGACTCCTTGAAAAAGTCACGGAAAGAGCCTTTCAAAATCATCTCTATAAAAAATAACAAAAATGTAGAACTGAAAAGGCGCAAAAGGATCATCAGTGTGGAGCACCTCAAACCTTATACTTTGGTTGGAGGAACTACTTGCAGTACCGTCTGACTTTTCTGGTATGTAAAAGTTGTGTTCAAGTGCTTAAAGGGAAGGCTAGTTATCTTAAATGGAGATGTGGAGATATGATGTGTCAAAATTACCTTCCTTCTACTGCTATCTCTGTTGGAAAAGTCCCTGTTGTTGAAAGACTAACTGTACAAATTTATTGTCTCCAAGAAAGTTATTCTTTGCACCTTAAATTAAAACTACGGACTATGGAAAAGCTTGTAACTATTCGATACAAATTGCAACAAATTCTCTGAATAAGACAATTCGACCAGAATTCAGCCAGAATTTTTAAAGTTAACTCCATCGAATTTTAGGATGATTCTAAGGTGAAACAACCTCGAATCGAGCAAGGCACACCAATAACAAATGACCAGGTAGTTAGAAACATTATATTGCTGTGATTTGAATTCTAATTGCACTTTACAATTGCATTTGTGTTAGTGTTAGAAAAGAACCAACTCAAATCAAATGTTTTTTTATTTGTAGGATGTTTCGAAGGCGAAACCCAGAATGGAAAAAGGGATATCAAAAGCAGATGACCAGGTGGTTAGAAATATTATTTTGATGCGATTTTCTTTCCAACTGCATTTTTCAATTGCATTTATGTTAGTGATAAAAAAGACGCAATTCAAATCAAATGCCCTTTTCATTTGAAGGATGTTTCAAAGGTGAAACGACCTCGAATGGAACAAGGGACACCAAAAAGAAATGAACAGGTAGTTAGAAACATTATTTTGTTGCGACTTTAATTCTAATTGCATTTGTGTAAGTGTTAGAAAAAACCCAACTCAAATCTAATGCTTTTTTATTTGTAGGATATTTGGAAGATGGAACGACCTGATATTTGAATGATGGGCTTGTTATTTTTATGGTTTCAAACAAACATTGCTGCATTGGTGGAACCCGAGATCTCCACGGGAGAATGCTTCAGGCTTGTCTACTGCGGCGCCCTCATCGGTCATGTTTGCTGTTTTTTGTATCTACAAAGCTATGAGATTGGTACATCGTGCAACCTATGAAACATCACACGACCCACCTTTATGGTACGGGCACGACTACACAGATTTGGTTGTCCAAAAAATCATCGAGAACAAAAAGCTTTGTATACGTATCATCCAAATGGTGAATTCATATGTGTTTATATGTTTATGTATATATAGAGTAATATCACACAACATATCTCACAACATTGTTATACCTATATTGCACAGATAACACAAAAGAACTTCTGTACATGGTGCCGGAAACCACCAGCGAGGATGAACTTGTTGAATGTGGCCAACGCACACCCGAAAACACTAGGCACGGCCTGGCTGGATCCCTTTCGGGACCATAAGGACATATATGTCCAAAGTGGCAATTGACAGGTAATTTGAGAATATCTAGACAAAAAGTCCAAAATAATTGCAAAATAGACATTTTTCAAGCTGAAGTAAAATGTTTTATATAAATAGAAAAGTATAAATCCTTTTCAAAGTCTCTTGTGGTAGTTATAAAAACAGACAATGCAAAGAAAAATTTCGCATTTTGTACATTTGTAAAAGACCTTGCTTCCACAAACATTCTTGCAAAATCCTCTTTTCTCAGATTTGACAAAAAAATGCTGATTGCCATCAAACCTCTTTGTAGCATTTGGCTGTTGACCAGCTTCTCTCTTTCTTGCAGAAAATGTTCCAACAAGACTTTGAAATAGCTCGATCCGGAACTCTTTTTGCCCCCGCTTTTTTGCATCTGGCTGATATTGTTCCAGGATCCAAGCATTTACAATTGCTTGCTTGAACAAGTCCAAAAAGATGGGCACCCACCATCTGTAAGATTTTCTTGACAAATTCTGGTAGGCTATCATTTGATCATTGGTGTCAACTCCACCCATTCTCTTTCTATATTGAATGACACACAGTGAGAATGTTCTTGTGGTTTTTTCAGCAGTGCCTTTTTGGGATTTTGTAACAAAATCAGTTTCTGATGGCACTGCTCTGCTCATAGAACTAATGAGGAGAACCTCTTTGGTGTCCTTCCACTTGGTAACCACAGTCTGTGGATCTTTCATCCTCCAAATCATTTCCCCTGTCTCTAGCTTTGCATTTTTCACCTCTATTGGCAAACCAGCACGATTAGGTCGAATTGTTGCCGTAGCAAGTTTACCTCTTTCAAACAGCTGATCTATAAGGTCAACTGATGAAAAAAAGTTGTCAAAAAACAACATCCACGGCTGCCCCAGTTGTAGTTCTTTTGCCAACTTCAAAACAACATGTTGACCTAGTCTAACCTCCCGTTCAGCTCCTTTGCCTGTATATATATCAAACGCATATAAATATGCTGAAACAGAGTCAACAAGTTTCCACATTTTGAAGCCCCATTCGTTTGGCTTGTCCTTCATGTACTGCTTGATAGAACTTCTGCCAGTAAATGGAATCATGCGCTCATCTATACTATTTTGCTGGTGTGGTACCCAAAACTGTTTGAAGGATTGCTGCAGCAAATTCACCACTGGCCTTACTTTGTGCAGTTTGTCATGATTGGGATCATTCTTTGATAATGCCATCGTATTGTCATTGCAATGCAGATATCTGAACAAGTCAGTGAATCTGTTTCGACTGAAAACACTACTGATTCTCTCTTGGCCAAGTGCCTCTGACCAATAATTCCGTATATCACTCAGCTGACAGAGGCCCATGTAAATAAGACATCCAAAAAATGCCCTCATTTCTTCAACACTTGTTGGTGTCCATCTCATTTTTGATGATGATGCTGTGAAGGGATGACTCAACTTTTGCTCAGCATATCTGTTTCATAAACAATCAGTTCCATGATATCAGGTGTAAAAAGCAGGTCAAAAAAAATTAGCTGCCGTTGCATCTTTGCCAAGCGTAATAGTTGGGCCAGACTTTTTTCTGAATGTTGGAATATGTATTTTTCGCTCAATTTCATCCCAAATCAGCCCATTGGTGTCAAAGTCTAACAAACGATCAATAATGTCTTGTTTTTTCCCTGTAGTGGCAAGTCCACCAACTTTACAAAACTCCTTGAGCTCTGCAACGTTTATTCCAGAATAATCGCTGACCAACGTTTCTTCAAAATCTTCCTCATCGACAACAAAGTCAGGGCCTTCACCTTCGCTATCCAACGCCATTTTGAACTGAAATATGGCACAGAGATTCCGGGATGTATATGGCTCAAAACGAGGCTATTTACTAAAGGGTACCCTGACGTTGAAAAATTTTTCAGGGCTTTGAAAATGCGAAATCCGCCAACATTTCAGACAAGTGCGAGTAGCTTCTACCACCAGGACAAATCTGAAGAATTTCAGAGACACGCAGTGAAAGGTCGATATACCAATTGAAATAGGTATTTCTTAAATAAAACCACCGGTAAGTAATTTAAGAGAATAGAAAAGAGAAAATTGCAAGGCCTCAAGTGTGGTTGACTATGTGATGTTTAAAATGATGTTTAATATGAAATTTAATATGGAAAAATGTTTTTGCCATTAAGAAAAGGAAAAAAATTATTTTTTTATTGGCAAATATCCTGTGATTTAGCTGGTCGCTTCATCAAAGCCTTTTTGCAAACATCAATTCGACTACAATTTATGACAAACCTTCACTACAATATACATAAAATATTTAATGAAACACAATGTTTGAAAGTAAATAGTTGGGTTAGGAATTAGTTTCAATATCAATACATGTAGTTTTGTATCACTGCACAGTTACTAGAAAATACATCTTCAAAAGTTTGAACTTCTCTCTGTTTGTCTGACGTGAAGGGGCTGGTGTTTCATCAATCTTATTCAAATTTGCTATTTGGCCATATTTGACACCCCAACATTCCCAGGAATAGGTGTGACAGCTAGCTTGATCCCGATTGAATTGTCGCTATATCCAAAATCTTTTAATTTTAGGGCTTGTCTTTGCGTAGTCTTAAGCTTTTTTATTGGCCAAAGTAATTCTCAAGTTAATCTTGCGAAAAAAGCTCTGACAAGACATCATCAACCCCATTGCATAGCAGGTACAGAGTGCATTCAACCAGAGAATGGCATGCGATTTTCAAGCCTGCAAAATTTTAAGTGAAAACATACTTGCCCTTTTCTTGTCAGTGAAACTCCGTTTGCGTTCCTGGATGGACTTTTTTCAGTCAATGAAATACACCAGGAAGAAGTTGATAAGCCAGTAAAACCTTATATTGTTGTCTAAGGTTTCAGGAATGCCTTCTGTTTCACTGGATGTTCTTTTTTGCTTTGTTCATTCGTGCAATCAAAGAACTGGTCCAACATTGAGCAAAATTGGTAGTTGCAGCAGCTTCCGGGGGCGCATATGCAAATAGCACTTTAGCAACTGATGAACTCAAAACCTGAGTATCAAGTTTAACATTCAAACAAAAAAAGAATTGAGTCTCACATGCTTGAATTTAGTATTCACTTGGCTTTTGAAGGAGCTGAAGACCACATTCTTCGTCCTCATTGTACATCTGGGTAAGGTGAGTCCACATAATAAAATGCCCATCATTCCACATGAATCTTGTCCCAGTACCTGCACCAGAATTGGCAAATCAGTTCCTGGCTGTTTTCATGAGGTACTGGGCATCAGAGAAAAGGTAAATGTTGGTTGGCTCTCTGCTAAACAAATATCTGACTTTGAATGTAATATCTGCCTTTTTCCGTTCTTTTGCCTCTAGCAGCTTCTTCATCTTAAACAGCTTGCGATTAGATGATGCACCATCACAAGTTTCAGCATCTACCTTTAAGCCACAAGTTAGCTCAAGGACACTACTAGCTTTTCACAGAACCGGAAACATTTGGAAGCAAGTGCCTCCTGTTGTTACAAAAGTTGCAAGACTGAATTTGAAAGGATTGGTTAGACCTCCCACCATGAGGACCAAAACATTGTTAGCTAGATCTGTTCCTTCTAGTGTTGCAACATTTAGTCACCAAGGTCAACAAATCCTTTGAAATCCCCTGTGTTCTTATCCCAAACCAAATCTTGCTGTATTCTCATTTCGTGGAAGGAAATGACCACATATTTTTTTTCTCAGAAAAATTCTTTGTTTCATGGCAAAGCTCTTTTATGATTTCATGGTTGAAACCACGGTGTGTGCAAATATAGTTCTTAAAGTCTCGAAGGCGACGTCAACTAGGAAAGATTAAGAATCCTGTCTCCTTACCTTCATTAAAACGAATGTCATCATATGCTGCTTGTGACCAGATTGCAATATCTGATCAGTATAATATGGTATCTAACCCCATTCTTTGCAGTACCAATATATTTTAACTGCTCCTCCCAAAAAAACTTTTTAAAAGTTGACACAGTTTGGAGGCTAGCTTGAATCATTATAGACTGTATGTCTGTTATGCTGATCACTAACTGGAATAGACTGGGATTCAATTTCTGTTTTGAGGCTTGCTATTTCCTTATTAAGAAGTTTGTTTTAGTGACGATGCTGCTTAAGCGCTAATTTTACTTTCATGGGTGAAGTAAATTGAATCAGAGCATTCAACTTTGCTGGGGTAGCAAGGTTTTCTCTTTCTTTTGAGCATATTTGTTTTCTTCTTGAATAATTGGCAACATTCAGTGCATGCATCCCTATCTGAAAACAATTATCAAGCAGCCAGATGACCTTTAAACTACTTTTTGGCAAACCAGATTACTGCTACTTGACATGTTACCAAATTGCATTGAAACAACAAGATGAATAAAAGCATGTGGAGTTTGTAGGTCTGCTTATGTTATCCCAGAACAGATAAAATTGTGCTCTTACTCAGATATCAAGCTTGAAATTTTCCATGCTTCCTGAATACTCCCTGTGAAGTATATTTTCCTTTGAAATGAGTGACCCGTAAACTCTGATAGCAAAGATCAAATCAGCATTTACATGTATCTCAAATGAGCTTATGGTATACTGAGCCTGTCTTCGTGACACCAACATGGTCTGGTCAGGTAACAAGTCATTTCATCGCTTAGGCCGGAACTTTCACTAAGGAGATATGTGCACTAACGCAAAAACTGGGTACTAGAAAACGGAAGACAAAAAGCTAGAACAAGAGGCTTTTGTCAGTTTCCATACTATCCCTCTCTTATGACTATGCTGAAGAAAAACTACAACTTCTCAACAAGCATGTTTGGAATGAATTATCAATATCCAACATGCAGGTTTGAAAACTACTCAGATTTAACCATAAAACATGACTCGGACTTTATTCTATTTTAAGCTGTCTTTTTATTGCATCATTCCATAGCCACTATTGTTGTCGTCAGTCCTTTTTTGTTTCAAGTAAATATTTTGTTATCGTAATTGAGATGTGTTGTCATGTGATTTTTATGCTGTGCCCTTGTTTGTGAATTCAGTCGTTATGTGAAGCCGGGAAGTTAAGTTGTGTCGTATCGTTCAGTTGTAGTCGCCTATAGTTGCATTTAATGTTGCCGTTACAAAAAAGTCGTTTGGTTATTGGAAGTTAAGTTGGAACCGCCGTTGTTTGAAAATCAAAGATTCTTTTGCCTATCCCTACCTGTAAAACATAGTAGTTTTACATTGGTGCCCTCCAAGAGAAGAACTCACAGCCTTCTGTTGGAGAGCGGTGGAGAGCATGATGTCGCTAGAACAATTCAAGGTGCTGGTCTTGGATATGGTAAGCACGATTTGTGCTGAAATGGATGAAAGGGTGCGGCTGGCCGAGGAAAAAGCCAGCAACCCCTTTGTCAACCGCACCAATGTGTACCGAGCAGAAGATGGGAGGCCAATCTGCTACTGTTGCTTCTGGGTTGGCCATGTTGCAAAATATTGCTGGGACAGACAATATTCGTGTCATCACAATCGTGAGGAGCTGCCTCCGATGGAAGTTTTCCCTTCAGTAGTTGCAGCCCTTGACCTCACTGTACGTGACAGTGAGGAAAATTCCTAAATGTTCCTGGAGGATTTGAAACGAACCTTGCAAGATGTTCAGGAGATGACAGCCCCCTTCATGCCCTTGATGAAAGAAGCTGATTGTAGTACTCCAGCGGTAGATCAACCAACAGAGAGAGTCAATCAAGCAGTAGATCATGTGGCAGATGTCTTGCCAAGTAAAATAATCGCGCCAAGAAATGGAATTGTTTTGCAATAGAAGACAGATTATGAGGAGAGCTTGCTACCACACAGAGCAGCAATTTTTCAAGAGCGGGAGAGAGATTCTTCAAGAAGCGTACGAGAACATTCTTATTGGAACTATTTTGAAGTAACTTAATATTTCTTAAATTTATTTTTCAGTTTCTCTTCCGTTTGAGAGTGCAAGCCAGGAGGCTTGTCTTTCAAAGGGGGGAGTTATGTTATGCAATTAGTTTTATGTTTTGTTTAGTTTTATGATATTCAATTGCCTGTTCTTTTGATGTTCTTGATAGTTCCCTTGTTTGTCACCTTGCCATCAACATTCCGTGTTATTGCATCATTCCATTGCCACAATTGTTGTCATCAGTCCTTTGTTGTTTGAAGTAATTATTTTGTTATCGTAATTTAGGTGTGTTGTCATGTGATTTTTATGCTGTGGCCTTGTTTGTGAATTCAGTTGTTATGTGAAGTCGTGAAGTTTAAGGCTGGTTTCCATATAACTGTAACTGCCGTTAGACTGCCGCCGGCACCTAGCTTCCATCCACTGCTGCCATGTTTACGGTACAGCCGGCAGTGAAAAGTTTAATGGAAACACTTCCCAGCTGCCATGTCGGCGGCACCGTAAGGGCCCAAAGAGCTAGTTTCCATATAACCGTAACTGCCGTAAAGCATAACATTCCAGTACTAGCTGTACTCGGTCAAGAAGAACCAGGTACACATTTAGCTTCAGTAAATTTCATTTTCATGTGCTTCGTCGACCATTCACTGTCAGGTGTGTTTTCACAGTTATGTAATTCGTTGTAAAGAAAACACCAGTAGTTACGTACGCCAAGTTAAATGCTACACTGAACTGTATCATAGAAAAGACATGAACGTAAAATAAACAAGGGAGAGGAGTCGTAGTAAAGTAGTAGAAAACATTGTATAAGGAAGAATCAAGGAAAGATATTCGAAGATCAACCAGTGTGTATCTTTGTCTCATATTCTGGCCCGACACACCTGTATAGGTGGACAACAAAGAACGCCACCATCCTTAGCAAATGAACAGCACCACGAATAAATTTTACAAATCATATCCTGCATATATTGATTCAGTTGGTTCAAAAATGAATAAGTTAGCACCCCACTCTTACATAGCTAAAGCCCAGTCAAGATACTTGAAGCAAAAAAAGGAGGAATTGGGGAAAAATGATGTGCTGTTTCTTGGGGATTTTGCCGAGAACTATAAATTCATAGTGCAAGACAAGGTTCAAAGCTTCCACTGGAGTAACCTGCAGTGCACTTTACATCCAGTAGTTATTCACTACAAGGATGCAAGTGCTGTGCAATATAAATCTTCCTGCATAATTTCAAGTGACTACACACATGATGTAGCATGTGTCTATATGGTGCAGAAGAAAATTATCCACCAAATCAAAGCCACAATGCCAAATATATTAAAGATTGTTTTTTTTCTGATGGTTGTCCAGGGCAATACAAGAACTGCAAGAACTTTGTCAACCTGTGCAACCATCAGAAAGATTTTGGACTTAATGCAAAGCGATTTCTTTGCAACGAGTCATGGCAAACAACCACGTGATGGCATTGGCGGGACTGTGAAAAGGATGGTTGCAAAAGTAAGTCTTCAAAGAACGACTGATCAGCAAATCCTTTCAGACAGTCCATGTACGAGTTCTTCAATTCTTTTGCTCAAGGTGTCAACTTTATTCTGATTGAGAAGGAGGAAAAAGATAAAGAAAGAAGTAACCTTATTAAAGGATTGAAGATGCAACAACAGTCCCATGAACTCAAAGTTCTCATCAGTTCAATCCACTTGGAGGAAGTAGAATTGCCATGAAACGATGAAAACTATGAGCTTATCTACAACTTCTCTGCTGGTGCTGAAACAAAAGTAGTGCAATGCGTTGTTTCAGGATATCTTTGTTGCAAGTGCGACAACAAGTTCTGGATTGGCATTGTTCTGGAAATTGAAACTGAGAACGATGACTTGCTAATAAAGTTCATGCACCCAGCTCTCCCATCACACTCTTTTTACTGGGATCAGGATTTTGAAGATACATGTTTAGTGCCATCTCAGATATATTTTTCACTGTTGAAGTTCCTACAACGCCAAATGGAAGAGTTTAACACTTGGCCGAGACAGATACAATTTCTGTGCAAAAAGCAATTTATGCAAAAACATTTTAAATCGACATGAAAAAGATTCTGTGCTTTCACCTCCTAGCCCAGGTAGTTGTGTTGAGGTTACAAAACAAACACCCAAGCCTGGCAGAAAAAGATAAGGGGAAACACAGGAAACAGCATTGACACAGTCATTCAGCATAAGCGTCAAATCTTGATTGGCTAGGAAAGGAATCACGGCCACGGGAATCGTCTTCGAACTGAACCAATAAGGTTGCGAGAAAGTCTTCGAGAAGCACGTTTTTTGGCCTCATGAACCCCCTCTCTTTAAAAAGAATCTGATCACTCATACAGTAGGGGAATGGGATAAAACTTGGCTATTTTAATCCAATGACCCCGACGCACATTTCCAGAAAGAGCAAACGCACGATCTCAAGTTTTGCGAAAGTTATGGAGGGAATTGTCAAATCTTGCGCCATCGGCCTTTTCCGTGTTATCATGGTTGAATTCTGGGATTTGACAGACGTGTTGTGCTGAGTTTATTCTACAGGGAGCTGTATTTTGATGGGAAAACTATTGCAAAGAGTTTTGAATCTGTGATGGATTGGCAACAGGTATTTTCATGTGCATCGATACTGTAAACTCTAGTCATAGAAACACAAAATGTTGCATGGGGGGTTGTAGCTGGATGAAACAGAATGTTAATACCCACGGGGCTTTGATTACAACTTTCACGTGTTTTGGTCGAAATTTAAATGGGGTGAAAACAACTAGAGTTTACTGTATCAATAATTTATAGCATAGTTTAGAAGCCTAGGCCACTTTTCTGTCTTTAGTAAAATCGATTTTCGAGTTTTTAATAATTCAAATAGGACCATTTATAAGGCCCCAGCTACAAATTTCTTGTTGAATTTGTAGGCACGATTCTCCAGCGTCCAGGTTGTCTTCTTCCACAATTTCATCATCGGTAATGTCATCATCTTGGTGCGCAGTGACGTTGGAGTTTCTTTGATGTCTGGATTGAAGATAGATTCCCTCGCTGTTGAGGCTAGGGTCTTCATGGCCTTGAGAATCTCCTCACTGCAAACTGTACATGCCCGTTTCTCTTCACCGAACAAGCATTCAGTGTGGAAGGAGTGCCCACATGTCTGGAACAATATGATGCCAGATCCTGTCTCTTGGTGTGTACAGTCGGCTAAGTCGCATTTGCTACAACAAAAAATTTTGTTTAAGTTCCAGACATTTTATAAAAATTTCGTATAAGTGGAGCATATCATTTTATTGTAATTTTGAAGGTAATTATTATGAAACAATGAGACCTAGCAATAATTTGTGTTCTGTTCAAAACATATTTTACTTTGCATTTAGTTGTTTCTCGATAAGTAGCTATAGATTTTTAACTTGACAATACTAAAAAAATTGATTTTGACACCAGCTCATTTTAAATAATCAGTAAAGAGTTTATTTCTAAACTTGAAATTGGCTAGGTAAATAGGACAAGGAATTGAAACAAATCCAAGGGTATATGATTTTGGATATTGTATACTTGTAAACAGTTGTATACTAAGCAAAGTACTTATATTGTATATATGCACTAAAAACAATTTTTAAAGATTTTTTGCTAAAGTGTTTTTATCTATTTGGCAGTTTGCCCAGCTCTCGGTGCTACAAACCTTAAAGGATTTGGTTCCTTCCCTGCAAACTGAAATCCTACTGGTAGCACTTTCGATGAAACAATGGTTTCTCCATATATATGAGGCAGGTTCCAATATGTCATGCCTTTTTGCCGATTTGCTGGGCGATTGACTTGGGATGCTGCATTTGGCTGTTCCTTTATACTTTTTAAAATGTTGAAAATAAATTTGGATGCCTTGATTTTCAGCTGTTTGAGTTTTGAACTGCTGAAGTTAAATTTTTTTGGCCTCACAAATGCTGATGAAAATTTAGCTGATGTTGTCTTGTTGCTGTCAACTCCTTTGGCCTTTCTTGAGATCAGTTCAGCATCATCAGATTGCACTGTTTGTGATCTTAAGAGAGAGTGGAAGTTCTCCACTGGGTATTCATCAAAAGCATTGAGGCTGCTTAAAAGAGCTTGAAAAAGTGGATGATTGTTAGCCTTCCAAAACAGAATATTACTTAGCCAGACCAAAGGAGCTTTGTTATAATGATGTCTTTTGTAGCAAAAGAACATTAACCAACACCTCAACACTGCATCCAGGTACTCAGAGGTTCTACCAGTTTTAAAGATGACTGAGTAGATAGACAGTACAAGTGGAAGGTAAATGTCTAAGATGTTCAAGAGAGTTAAGAACTCTATGCTTTTGCAATTGGAGAAAATGACAATTACTTGTTCTCTGATGAGTGTCCACCCACCATAAAGTATCTCTAACAGCAAAGAAATTCTCCATGGTTTAGGCTTGTTTGCAAGTTGCTTTTTATCACCAAAGATAAAGGAATAGAACATTTTAAAGAAGTCAATGTTTAGAAGGCAAACACATTCTCTCGCATTCAGCTGAATATGCAGAGAACCAATCATTGGTATAATGTTTTTCAAGCAAGATGGAAAGTTTTCAGGAATGTTATACTGAACCTGTCTCATATAGAATTGAGCAGGCCAGTCCCCAGGCTGGGGGCAAAGAAAGTACTGAAGATATTTTTGAAGACCAAGTTTCAAGGCATGAGCAGAAGTTTTGAGAAAGTCGTCAAAACTTCTCAATTTTTGCTCAACCTCATCTACAAGTTTGCAATTTTCCATCTTTCGCAGAGATTTTGTGCTGGTTTGACCCTGTTGGTAATCATGGATTTCTAAGCGGCTTTTTTCAATCTCAGGGTTGAAAATGATGATTTGACCCAGTATGGCATGATGGTTGCAAAAGAAGAAAGCAAGTTTGGTAAATTTTCTTTCAAATGATTTACCAGGATTTCAATGCTTATCCCATCTTGATTCAAGAAGCTGGCATCAGTATAAGAAATAGCAGGTATTGATGGAAACTTTTTAGAAGTATGGTTGCCATTTTTGTTGCTGTTGAAGTTACCTGGAATAAAACCAAAAATATGATAATTTTACAAGCTAATAACAATTGCACAATGCAAATATATTCTTATGCAGATGTTAGGGAGAAGAGCAATTTTTTGCAATAAAACTTAGATTCTGCAAGTCAAGTGTATAAACATATGTCTTATACACAAAGTTTAATCAACTCAAGTCATCTTGAATTACTTTTTAAAGATGAGTTATACCTGGTCTTTTGGTCGACGAATGGTATGCACATTGGTGTAATCATCTATCATCAGTGTCAGGAGACATTTCTTTTTGATGGCTTCATCAATGAATTTAATGACAGTTGACTCATAGGAATCTGCTGTTCTAATCAAGTCCCTTCTTTGGGTCGATTTGGAAAAAGATATGCCACTTTGATTTAAGATTGCAAGCCCAGATTCACTGATTCCCTTTCCTGTCATATTTTGGGCAAAAATTTTCTGGAAGCAATTGGCTTTTTGGGACTGTCCATACACCAACATGTATATTATGGCGACAGCTTTCTTTTCATTTTGCTCTTTCTTGAAAGGCGTCTGGTGTTCCTGTGACATTGCTGTTGTGATGGCATGAAACAGCTTTGTTGCACCTGCAGTCCTGCAAACCTCCTGGATCTTTTCTGGCTCAAATGGAGGAATGGTTTCGCTACTTCCATAGCTAAACCACAGCTGCTCACGGAGAAGTTTAACCTCCAGTTGCAAGTCAACGCTGCTTGTTATGACCTTTTCCAGCTTGGGAAGAATGCTAGTGGGGATGTAAAAAAATTCATTTGATACCTCCACAGCACCTATGCCATCAAGGACTTCAACATGAACACCTTCTGTTGGTAAATACTTTATCATTTCTTTTGGAACTAAGCAAAATGTTTTACCATTGATGGTTGCTTCCTCAAACAATGGCTGTTGAATCTCATCTGCAGATTGAGGTTCCTCATGGAGAACATCCACAGAAAATTCTTGCGAGCCAAAATTGCTAGCTTGAGATGATTGGCTTGATTCATAGTCTACAATGTTTTCCTTCAACTGAAATTAAGTTATTAAAAGATAGTTTTATCTCAAGAAGAGACACACGAAAATATCAAGATGACCATACAAAAAGTAGATGTTTTGAAGACCTTAGTGGAACTACAATTATTTCATAATGAAATGAAATTAGCATTTGCGTTATTGCTGCTTCATGTGTCTGAATTACCATAAATCCTCCAATAAGCCCCTACTGCTACTGTAAATCCTAGAATTTGCCCCCCTCAATTTGTTAATTTTTGCTATCTAAGGTTGCCTTTGGTGTTTTATTGAAATTCATACTTCTGGTAATAATTAATTAAATGTTCAGATTCATGGTTTGTCAGATTTAGGGGGGCAAAACCACTCAATTATTTCCCTTACCTAAATTTTGAAACTTGACGAGATTTTGTTTAAATAAGTTTAGCAGTTTTTCATGTAAATACTGTATTAGTGCTAGGAAATGCCCCTCATTTTAAAATGCTATGTAACAAAATACCCCTTCCCTTCAATGCTAAAAACTTTTGTTCAAACTTTTAAATGAATGCAATCTTAGTAAGGCATTTGTTATGAAAATGTAGAGACAATTAATCAAGCATAATTGAAATATCTGTGTTTAAAGGCCTCCTTTGAGGACACACCCCTCTTATTATAATAATTATCGTGTCCTTACCTTTCTATAAGAGTGTAAAGCTTCAAAGTTAGTTGGTAGTTTGGATGTATATGTCCGTTTGTTCAAGCACTTTATCAGGCAGTCGGTACAAAACTTGTCCCTGAGTTTCCTGCTTTTTTGTTCAAACGCAGTATAAAAAACACTTTTCTGGCCAACTATGAACTTTAAATTAAGAAAAACATTCGAATTACTTCTCCATTCGTCATGTTTAGAATTGGCACATTGCGTATTATATTTTCTTCCCATTTCTGAAAATTATCAATTTCGTAACAAGCGAAAACGAGTGTTTCGATTATTTTTTCCCCACCTACAACCTGTGTATGGGCAGCGGGGGTAACACACCCCTTTGTCAGGAATTCGATTTTTGTAATAAAATCTTACACTTTAAGACAATAGACATATTGTTTAATTGACAATTGACAATAGATATTTTGTTTTACCAGATGTACTTTTTATTCCTTCTTGATCCCCCCGTTTGGGATTAACTGGATTTGATCCACATTTCGCTCCAAAATTGTTTTTCCGATTCACACTATACCATCGTAAATGTCACGTGAGTTTTACGAAGTTTGCATGTTTGTGGATGTTATCTTGCGAAACAGTTATATGAATTTTGTATCACCTAAGATTATGGTTGCCAAACCAACAGCTTTGTAAGTACCATGTTTTAATATTCTAATTAATTTGAAATGCTATTGAAGTTTACCACCCTATGGATCTTATATTTGAACGATTCTTATTGGCGATACTAATAGGCCATATCAACATTAGCGAAACATGTTGTGGAGAGAACATTTTAAGAAGCGTGAAAAGAAATGTTCAGGGTTTAATTTGATACTATGTTGTCATGTAGGTATTTAGATTATTCAAGTAACCATATTATTTCGTTAGATATTTATCAAAATTTACAAGTGCGATAACTTTTGCAAAACTTGAGATCGCGCGTTTGCTCTTTCTGGAAATGTGCGTCGGGGTCATTGGATTAAAATAGCCAAGTTTTATCCCATTCCCCCACTGTATGTGTGATCAGATTCTTTTTAAAAGGATGGGGTTCATGAGGCCAAAAAACGTGCTTCTCGAAGACTTTCTCGCAACCTTATTGGTTCAGTTCGAAGATGATTCCTGTGGCGGTGATTCCTTTCCTAGCCAATCAAGATTTGACGCTTATGCTCAGTCATTCAAAGAATGTGACAAACTATTTAAAACCACATTGGTAGAAGTAAATGATGAGGATTAATTATACTGTTGTAGCTTAATCCCAATAATGAGAGAATTTCCAAAAAGGCAAAAAAGATTGCCTAAAATTAAGATTAGTCAACTTCTTTTTTATCTCCAATTTGAGAATGAATAAAATTTCATTAAAGTGTGGGGTGTTCTCCCCACCTGGGGTGTTCAACAATTGTGTAATTCTGTCCTTTCAGATTTGACATTCAGTACTTCAAAATGGCATGCAGAACAATCTATCCCATAGACTAAAGAATAAAGTTTGATGAAAGATGGATCAATATACCTTGACATAAACATGATAATCAGAAATAGAATTATTTAATTAATAATGTACTTTCAATGTAAATGGTTTATTACGGTACTCTCGTTACTCTTTCCAATTGCCAATCCAGAGAACCATCTTAAAAACAAGTTTTTAAATTATCCCATATTTATTTTGCTTCCCTTGAATAATTATTTTACCCTTGTGGTGATATTGGTTGTAAGCCATCAATACTATCTTCCTTGCGCCAGTCACCAGGAGTTACACTAGATCTTATTTCCCTATCAGCATAAGATGTTGGGCAATAGCTATAGTTATCTTCATCGTTGGAGGTGGATTTCTGCATCAAATAGTTATGTAAAGCAACAACAGCCTTTGTTATTAAAATCACTTTTTGTGTTTTTGCTATTATTGGTCTTCTAAACACCCTGAACCTGGTGGTAGCTATCCCAAATGTGCTTTCAATAACTCTCCTTGCTCTTGACAGCCTATAATTGAAGTTTTTCTGATAATTCTGGCAAATTTTGGTTAGGATATGGCTTCATCATATGATTTTTTAAACAAAATGCGTCATCTGCAACAAATACATAAGGTAGTACTTGTAATGAATTCTGGCCAACGTTTTCAGGCTGAGGGATATTCAGTTTATTATTTTCAATGGCATAGCCATAGACTGTTGCTATATACACTGCCATCACTTTGACGAACAGAATCCCCTATGTCTACAAGAATAAACTCTAACTGTGCATTAGCAGAATACTATGGGTCTACTTGTAATTAAAATAAGCTGACCCACTATTGTGTGGAGCTTGCATCACAACATGCTTTCCATCGATAGCACCAAAGGCATTGGGAAAATTCCATTTTCTTTCAAATTCATGTGCAGTGACCTTCCACTCCTCTTCTGTGCTTGGGGGTCAAGGAATTTTTCTGCAACCAAGCAAGCCTATAAAGCACTGCTCGTCTCTGTAATGATTCTGCCTATGGTTGATGGACTCATCCTATAGCTAGCTGCAATCGTGCAGCTGTTACCAGATATCTCAGCGTAACTCCCATTCTTTCCCTAGGGCCAGCCAAATTACGCATAACGGTTTTTCCTTTGAGATTTTTGGACCAACTAAGGATAACAGTTCTTCAAACGTTGAGGTCTCTTATCAACAGATGAAATTCTCGTTTCTTTAAACGCTTTTCATAGACTTTTCAAACCCAAAAACCTTTCCTTTTCTTACGCTTCAACTCTAATAGTTTCAAAATTGTTAATTTCTTTTTTATCAATAAAACTTTATTCACATTGACCATGCTTGAAGTTTTGGAAATTGGCACCTAAAATGTACCTTGATAGACAAAATTTCCAATTCACTGCGAATTCGCCTAAAAGCCCAAAAAGCAGGAGGAGCAACATGGGGGAATGCAAAGCCTTTTTTAGGTATGTAAAAAGAATGAACGTTAAGAATAGAAATGATGGAGAAGAAGATCAAGGCGACTAAAGGCAACATCAAATTTTAAAATTACAAAATTAACACCGGTCAGTAAACAGAAGAGGCTTCTGGCAAATTCTTGGAAAATAGGGGATTTGCAAAAAAAAGTTGCATCATTTCAAACTAAACTTAAAGACTATGAAATCATCTTGTGTGATGAGGAAAAATTGACATGGAAAGTTTGGTCAACTGGATCAACCAAAATGCAGGGAATGAGCTGGAAACAATGTTCAATGAGGGGGCTGATAGAGATGAAAATTTGCCTAAACTCGTCAAGGAAATATGGGATAAAGACACTGAAGATAGAAGTCAATTCTACAGAGATCAATTTATCAACAAAGGTTAGCATGTTATATTGTTTATTTGTGGCACCAACAACAAACAGTTGTCTTAAAAAATAGATAAATTTGTGATCTATTGTAATTATGAAATAAATATAAATTGCTTTATCTTTTTAAAATATATTTTTATGGTCAATCAATCGTAGAATTACTTTTTTAGGTTTTGAATATGAGGAAAGTTTAAAAAAATAGACAACAATTACAACTTTTCTTGTGCAGGGCAAACTAATTCATTTGTTTGTCAACTTTTATGCAAGATATTTTTTTGGATTGCTAGTTTGTACCCCTTGGTCCATGACAAAAAGAAATATGAAGTGGAGAGACATCAAGACGCAGGACTGGCAGTCCAAAGCGCTGGATCATCAATCATGGAGGACAGTCATTCAACCATAAAAGTAGAACAGACATCATTGTCAACCGACGGACTGCAAATGATGATGATGATAACCCCTTGGTCCAAAATCTCTATGTTCACACCCACTGGTGAAAGAACATTCATGAAGAGTTATTATATTTTTCTTTTGATTTGAAATGACTGTCTTTCATTTGCAATTTCAGGAAAGCAAAATGCCAATGGCCATCGTTGGAGCATGATAACATACCGTGTTGGTCTGTTTAAAAATAATATACCATTATTTTTATTAACAAGAAATGCTCTCCCTCCTTCATAAGTTATTTCTTACTGAGATATTCCTTCAAGAAATTTCCTGGATACTATCATTTTGTTTTAGTGATAATCCGTGAAAATAACTATTTAGCTTTCATGCTTACCTACAAGCTTAATTGTTGCTATGTGTTTGTACCACATGAAATGCGGGATTTTGAATTGATGAGCCTGTACTTAAACATGACGCGTCTGGACTAATGTAGAAAAAAAGACCACAACTTCTTTGAAAACCTATTATTTACTGACATAAAGGAAGAAAATTGTTCCCTACACAAACAATTTTGTTGACTTATTTATTACTTTTGTAGTATCTCTGTTTAGTATGAAAAACATTGTCTATTATCTATAATTTTTTTTATTTGCAGCCTTTGCAATCTACATTCGGACTCCAGCTGCCTTTAATTCCTTGGAAAGTTTTAAGATTCTGGAGTTACCTTCTACCAAAAGTCTTCAAACATTTACAGCAGTTCGGAACCATTCGCCTGGTGTTAATCGTGTTAATGAGGACTACATTGTAAAATAGAGGGAAGACTATGATTTGTTCTCAGAGGAATCTTTGAAAAAAGGTTTAAAGAAGCCACTTGGCTTTGGCTTCTTTAATTTTTGATGAGATAAAAGTGATTGGGAAAGTTGCCCTAAATATGAAAAGTGAGACATTTTTGTGGCTTGCACTGGAGGTGGATGACCTTTATAGCCTACATGATATATATCAATCATTGTAATCCACAGGGCCAACAGCAGTTGAATAGATGCTTCAGTATTTATGGCGAGAATTCACATCCAGCTTTGATATCAGAGGCTCATACTTCAGTCTGATATCAACCATTAACCAAACAACAGTTAGACTCTGTTAGAAACGATGAGAGTTTTCAATAACTACAACTTCAAGACCATTTGTGTTGTCTGTGATGGGGCAACTAGTAATATGGCTGCTATAAAACTACTTTCAAATGATAAAGTTGAAGCACATGGTACATCTGATGATGACACAAACAAACATGAAGTAAAGCCCTGGTTTCAAAATCCATTTTATCCAGAGATTGATGTTTTCTTTGTTATCTGTCCATCCCGCCAGGTACAACATCATTTATATGTATATACTTTCAATCCTATGCACGTTCTTAGATTTTTGTTTGAGCAATTCGAAATTGAAGTTTGTGAAGGTTATCAATTAGTAAAATATTTGCAAAAAACCCAAAAATTGATAGGAAATTTAGCATTTGAAGATAATTTTCAGTGGTTAATCATGTGAGTCATGCCTCGAAAAGGTTCACAAACAAAAGTAAATTATCTGATATTTTTTTTCTTCTCCTATCCAGTTAATGTAATGATCACAAAAAAGGAAAAATGTTTAAAAATGTTGATTAAAGTAAAAAAAATCAACTTCAACAATTTTCAAGTTTTATGATATCATCCAATAAACTATAACTTTTTACTTTCTCTTTTTTCAAACAGGGGTATTTTGAACATAAGCACTTTCATTGATAAGATTACTTCCATAAATTCTTAGTCCTTCTTGATTGGCTGTTAGACGTAAACGTCTGTCCAAAAGGTGGAGATAAGGAAAAAATACCCACTTTGGCACAAATAGCCACCCTCTGTCTCTTTCTCTTAGTGTAACTGGAATGTTTGGGTTTTTCTTTTCATTTTTGGTCATCACAAGTTGGTACAGAAACTTTCTGAAATCAATTTGTGAGCTCCATTTACTTTCATTCTACTTTCTTTGATAATTTGTTATGGACCCCTTTACACACTTATAAATTTTTCCAAAGCAACCACCACTTAACACCAATAATGATTCAGTGGAATTTGCTTTTTCTGGTATGTCTGTTTCCAGATGCTCCTTTTCTTCCTTCATGTTGTTAAGCTTTATCACTTCATTTTGTACAAATGTAAATACTCCAGCTGCAATAGCTTGGACAACACAGTGGAAGTTATACTCATTGTCTTGTGAATTATTCTTGGAAGCCAACTAGAGATTTTTGATGACTTGTTGTGCATCATGTCCCTGACAGAAAAAGTAAATTTATTCTGTAATTTGCATGCCTTTCCTTTGGATTGAGTTTTAGGTTTTGCACCATTAGTTTCTTGAGCTTTGAAAAAAAATCTTTCACCAAACTATCAATTGCTTTCTTGATGTTTCGCATTGTTTTTTATATTCTTCTCATTCTGAAGGAATTTAAAAACATAGCTCATAACATCGACCAGCGAAGCCCTTTTCAAACTATTTGCCATGGAAAGGAAGATTTTCTTGCAGAGCCATACATTCTTACTTCAACAAGACCTACCTCTTTTTTCATGATGCTGTCCACCAAAGGTCGAATAATCGGTATTCAGTTACCTGTTTCACTTTTTGGTTAGCTGAAGCCCAAAGCGAATATTTGGTTACAAGCGAATAGTTCGAATACTATGATTATTCGGTTATAAACAAATAGTTTGAATTGTAGGATTATTCGGTTGGAGAAGAATAGTGCGAATAACCTCACTGTTGGAGGTCACAATGGTTGTTTGAATAGCCGTGACTCATCAAATAGCTTTGACTATTCGAATAATCGTGACTGATCGAATTGCCATGACTATTCGAATAACCATGACTGATCGAATAGCCGTGACTAATTGAATAACCGTGACTGATTGAAAAGCAATTGCCAACCGAATAGCAATCGAATAGCATTGACTATTTGAATAGCCATGAAATGAATGATCAAATGGCCATTGCCAGTGAAGAAAGGCAAACATCAAGTCCCTTTTTCAGGCTTCGAGTAACGTTTTTTGATAACGGCCAACTGAAAATTTGCAAACATTGAAACAGTAACACTTTGGGCATTTTGGGGGCAGGGGAAGTGAAGCAAACCTAGCCGATGGGGGTCACAGCCTTTTTCCTTGAGGAATAGCCATGACGTCACCTTTCAAAATGCTTGAAAACGAACATTTTGAAAACCTATTGGAAATAAGCTTAGTTCAACGTGACTTTTGTTTGCTTAGAAAGAAGCGAGGCATGTATTTATGCACCACACCCTCAATGCGAATGCATGTAGACTGGATGACCAAATATCCATAAAACAAACAAGCTGAATAGTCATGAATGAATGACATAGAGCACATATTGTTTTCTTCAAACTTTTAGACACATTTATGATAAAGAAGAACCTTTAACAAAGCTGTAGTGAAAATCTTAGAATAAAGGCTAAAAAATACGGCCAAAATTTTTGTTTCTTTCTGAGTGGTTTTCAAAAATTTTTAGGTCTGTGATCAATGAACACAACAAGACAGCTGATTTTATAAAGGATGGTTCATTTTTTAACATTGGAAACAGTATTTCTTCATTTAATGACACTTTGATCACTATAAAGAGGTACATTTGTCAGGGATGAAGTACATGAAGCACTGAAGAAGTGATCATAGCAGACCTGAAATGAGACAAATAATTATCAAAATTTGAGAAGGCATGTATGAACTACTGACTCTACCAACCACTTTCTCCATCATAGTTTAAAAAATAATGTCACAGCCCTTGATATTTCCCATGGAACACGCCTAACACCATCTTACACCAATTTCCTCTTGACTTTATTTTGCATGAGACAGAAGATGGATGATGCATTGGCCCTTTCTGTTTACCCTGCATACAATAATTTCTATTCTTTTGAGTTAATCTAACTATGTAAATAAATGATGAATAATGTTTAAAACATGCCATTAAATCAAGAGAACATTTCCATTCATTTTAACTTCTTGAATGAACATGATATTAAAAAGAGATGATACTACACCAAATGTTTAAAATTTTGTGGTAATGTGTGAATAATGTGTTTATAGGTGACAAAACATATTATTTAGTCCCAGAAAACCTTGTAGAATATGTTCCCAATTCAAAAGTGCTTTCAGGAGTGATAAATGAAATATCATTCCGCTTTACTGTTTTGCTAGAGATTCTTAAAGTTACATAAGATTACAATACATTTTGAGATGTTTTTTTTATCGACTCCACCTTGCCACACCCATCTGGTCACGCCCATACGACCTCGCCAATATTCGCAGAATAACCGAATAATCGGTAAGTCTTGGACCAAATAACCGAATAACCGACAAAGAGAAGAAAATCCTGAGACTGCAAATGAAAGCGGATTGTAAGTTCACATATTGTTTTCTTCAAACTTTGCCCTAATTTCTAGGTGACCTTTGATAAATAGTAAAGACTATTTTGAACCAAATGCTCGACATCTTTTCTGCCATGATCCATTGTAAACTCCCCCAAGTGAATAAAGAGAACCTTTTTTAAAATCAGCAATTAGTAGTATAATCAAAATCTCACAGGAGATGTGATCTTCCAAACTGCACAAAAGCAAGCAGATCCTTCAAAATAATGCATGGATGTGGCCAGTCATACCATACTCAATGTTTGGGTGAAGGAAACGAAAATAAATGCCTGCTTTGCACAGCTGAAATCGAAAGTGCCATCAAATTACTCTCCAATGCAGCAGCTAGATCAAGTTTCAAGGTTGGAGACAAAAAAGCTCCAAAGGAATCTGCCGTTGACAATGGATGTGAGGATAAAAACAGCACAGAGAGCTTTAATGGCTTTACAACTATCAAAGAATCATGCCTGAAACTACAGCAAAATATATGCAGCTGGGGTCTGATTCCTGGGCCATAAATCATATGTTGAACTTAAAAAATCACCACATTTACTCTGGAGAGCACAAAACTCTAAAAGCACCTACCCTGAATGATAAATCTTTTCTCAAGGCAAAAAATTTCAAGATCTCCATTTTGAGCACCTTCAAAAACTTATTCCAAAAATCTGTTCGTGGCGCAACTTCTACGGAATAGTTTGTTTTCGAGTTTTATTTTGTGTTCTTGCAAGGAAATACAGAATTAAGAACTTCAAATGTTGTGATAAATATTGGACATCTGTTTCCGCTGAGCTTTCTTAAATTCTGTCAAAAAAGTTTAATGAAGCAATTTGCTTGGAAAATGCATGACGATTCGAAATAAGTTAATCGGTTGGAGATAAAAAGATTCAAATAAACTTGTGAAATTAAAATAAGGATAAATTAGGTTGAACTATGAAAGTTATCAGCTATGAATGAATAATGACCGGAGATCAATTTGATAAACCACTTTTACATCACAAGATATTTGCTTGGTGACGCAAGTCCAACAAAATTGATTTGTTTGAATTCAAAAGGTTACATTAGATTTGTAAAAGTAATTGATTAGGTCGATGTGCAAATTATAGGCAACAAAAGTAAAAAATTAGAAAGCATAAACGAATGTGAATTAAGTTGCGCAATTTCAGCAAGACAAATTTTACCTTTAAACATTTACAAGTCTGCACATGCGGTACAAAACAAGACATGATTGTAGATGCGAATTGACCACCATCGCCAATCCTGTAAATGCTAGGACATCAAATCAAAATAAGGATGTTGATTCTTGTTGCACTTCAGTTTCAAACCAATTAAGCGTCCTTCAGTTTAAAACCAATTCTTTTTCTTCTTCACAAACTGTACCATGAGGGCCAGGCCATGAGGTCAAAGAAGGCAACCAGTATAATAAAGCCAATAGCATGTGATATTATCCCGCACCTTTCTGTGGAAGAGTTATGTGCTGTCGCAACATATAGTCCAGTGGCAAATGCAAAAGGACCTTATTTCCAAAACATTGGTATAATTTGTGGTTATATTGACAAGAAAACAGAAATTTCAATAAAGAAGGTGGATAATGTCGAGGGAGTGGTAAGTACAACTTGCACTGTTATTGAATAGCAATTTTTTTTCAACCGAGAAAGATCAAGAAAATGTTTGCGGTAGATTTTTAGATACAAGACTCAAAAGTAGTTTAGTCAAAAAAAAAAAATATGCTGGCAAATTTTACACTGGGTTTTTTAAACAAGGAGTAGTTAAAATGCTAAAATTTGGCTTTCTGAAGTTGATTCTTGCAGCGTTATTGGTGTTTTGCCTAAAGTATTCCCGAGAAGGGGATCTCGCCAATATCTAATCAAAATTTGTCCCCTATGCTTGTAATCATCAAGATACCCCTTGACTTTTATAACCAATGTTTGAATCTTGATTGACATTTTTATTATAGATCAATATATGCTTGTTTTATGTTTATCAAAGTGAAGTTGAGAAATCTACACTGGGGTTGCAATACCTGAACGTACATACATCAGCTTATGGAAGGAAGTCTATTGGTATCTGTTTTACTAGGGAAAATTCCTGAAGATGTTAGACTCCAAATTGGCCGCAAAATGAAAGACGGGCATTGGGAACTGGGTCTGTTACTTGATTTATTACAAGCTGAAATTGAGAACAGGGAGTGGTTTTCTGGAATCCAAGCCTCTTTACCATCAGCATTGAGCGCATCCAAACTACTTGTAGTAAAACAGATGCCTTCTACCGCTTCTACAATTCTGACGAGTGGCCGGATGCCCAGCTGCACGTATTGCAAAGAGAATCATGCCTGTGATCTTTGCAAAATCGTCACGGATTTGATAATCTTGCATTGTCACAATGTAGTCACACATAACAGGACCAGCGAGATATTAGCAGAATTACATCAGAATCATTGGGTTCCCAGTGAGAGACAATTGGTGAGAAAGTCGATACATAACTGTCGTATTTGTAAATGGTTCAAAGGAGTGGGTTATAGAATACCTAGACCAGCAGATTTACCGCAAGGAAGAGTTCAAGGGGCCACAGTTTTTGTTGATGTTGGAATAGATTTTGCTGGCCCACTGTATGTTATGTTTGGAGGTGATTTGAAAAAGGCCTATATATGCATATTCATATGCTCTCCTAGTTGTGCAATCCATCTAGAAACAGTGCCAAATATATCTACTGCAGCTTATCCGTTGTTTGAAAAGGTACATTGCTTGTCGAGGTCTACCCAACAGGATTACATCTGACAATGCTAAAAAATTCAAGAATGCTAACAAGGAATCAGAAAATTGTTGAAAAGTGCAGAAATTCAAGAATATGTAGCTCAGAAGAACATTGTGTGGAAATTTATATTAGAAAGGGCACCTTGGTTTGGTGGCTTCTATGATGCGACCAGTGACGCAACCATTTTGGAAAATTCTAGGGAATGGAAGAATTGACTACGAAGAATTAACAACTGTTGTAGCTGAGATTGAGGTTGTGGTCAGTTCACGACCTTTAATGTCATCTGTTCAGATGAATTTGAGGAGCCAACTACACCAGCTTATTTAGCGATTGGTAGGCGCATTTTGAATAGCCCAATCTATGATGTTGACAAAGAAGATGATTATGATGACACGGCTATAGAGAAGCGTGCACAGTACTTACGTACCCTTTTTGGACATTTTTGGGCAAGAAGGTAAAATGAATATTTGCTAAGTCTGAGGGATTTCCATCAACTCAAGAGCACAAATCAAAAGGGAGCTGAGGTACAAGGAGACCATCAGGAATGCTGTGCATCAGGGATCATCGCCGACGGGTTACGATATATGAAAACCAGGCTTAAAAGAATTCGAGAAAGGGCAGTTAAATCGAGAGGAAGCAATCTTCGAACTTTCAGACTCCCCTCGTAAACAGGGGGAGTCTGCACCTACCTATGCATAAAAATTGATGGAATTGGTGAAATTAGCCTACCCAGATTTCAAGGATGAGCCTCGCGCGATGTTAGCAAAAGACTATTTCGTGCGCGGTTTGCACCCACAAATGCAAACAGCCCTTTTCCAGCCGATATTGTCAACGCAATTGCTGATAAAGTAGTTGACAAAATAACCTCTATCAAGCTTGGTTCCGGGGGTCATGAGGACCTTGAAAATGATGTAAGTTTTACAACAAATCCATTCTTTGTTAGGAAAAGAGTATTTTCCGGCAGAAATTTCAGAGGTCGCGGTAGAGGTCGACAGCCCCGAGGAAGAGAAAATTTTCGTGGCGGCTACAGTACTTCTAATAACCAACTGAAATGCAGGTCATGTCGAAGCCCTGATCATTTCGTTGCGAGTTGCCCAACACGATTTTGCCAAGCCTGTGGCCAACGTGGCCATGATAGCTGGAACGTTGTGTGTCCAAAATACCAATGACTATTTGCCTCCACAGAAGCAAGACCTTCCGAGGAACACTGTACTGTCGTTGTTGCTGCAAAACTCCAAAAGCTGGACACTCACGTAATAATGGACACTGGTTCAGGATGTTCTATAATTGATTTAGGAACATTGCAAAGAATAGGCCTTGACGATTGTATTGATAAACACTCCCCAAGATCATTAATAAACGCTTCCGGGGACACTATGAAAATCGTTGGAACTGTCAAGATTGACGTAAAATTTGCTGGTAGCCAGCCTCGTAATCATGTTTTTCAAGTTCTGGACACATTGACTTATTCAAATGTATTAATTGGAAGAGATTTTATGTGCCTTTTTGGTTCTGTCCGGTTTAATTTCGCCAGAAACAAAATTCAATTAGGAAACCTCTCACTGTCTGGATTATTGTTCAAAACAGCAAGAGTCAGGTTGAACGAATGTGTTACTATTCCTTCTCGCTCAGAATCATTTGTTTTAGTTAAATCCTCAAAGCAAAATTCTCTGTTACAAGGAGACTTCGAACCAAGATTGGTCCAAAGATTCCAGGCTTATATGCTACAAGATCACATGTAATACTGAACATTGATGGAGTATTTCAAATCACTGTCCTCAATGTTACTTCTTCGAACATTACATTGAAATCGCGAACCTCAATGGGTTTTATACAACCAGGCAATGAAATTATCAGGAGTGTGACAACTGATGAAAATCTTAATTCAACTCTTGCGGATATCACAATCAGTGAAAGACTATCATGTGATCAAAAGTTGGAAATAACTAGACTGATCGAACAACATAAGGACGTATTTGCTTCTAATCCTAAAAAGCCTTGTCAAACAATGTTGTTAGAACATAGAATCGTCACCAATGATGCCCTTCCTGTAAGCCACAAACCCCGCAGGATTCCTGTTGCATGGGAGAAAGATATCGATGAGCAGGTTTCTGAAATGCTTCCCAATGATATTATTCGGCCATATTCGGCTATAGGCCCCCCCCCCTCAGATTTTAGCAACAACTTGTTAGAAAATCTTCAGAAAAGTTAACACCTACGGCTCTAACGCAACTTTGGAAAATTTACAGTCACAGGTCCTAAGTACTAGCAGTTCCACCGGGTTATCATGTTCTAAATGGGCAGTACCCATACTCTAAATTTTAGAATATGGGATGTGCTTATGCCAGATGTTCATCTACACCATCTGTTGATTTAGAATATGGATAAAAACCCATTTTCTAAATTTTCATTTTCTAAACACGTTCTAGCATTTTATATTGTTGCCCTGGCACGGAACTTGACAAACCGCAGTGGCCCAACCCCCCCGCTGTGTCCTGTGGCTTGTCTGTTTTCTTTTAAAATTTCACTCACCAGAAAGAATTGTAGGCGTGTTCATATTGCCTCAGTGCCAGTGAAAATCATTCATAATAATGGCTTAACACGATTGAAGAGAATTCTTATCAAATTAAATAGAATGAATGTCTTGAAAGAAAATCACTCATCCTCCAGCAAGCCTTTTTTAAAGATTCAAAAATTGTTTTTAGAATCTTTAATAAAGTTAGTTACTTGGTTCTTTTTAATAGCTGCCGGAAACCAGGAATCATTTTGGAAGCTAGAATATGCCATCATTATATGGGATCTCTACATCTTAAGGTACATCTTATTTCTAGCTTTAGTTTTTACAAGGTTTTTGAATGATATCTGCAAACAACAGGGATTGCGCTAATTTTATGACAGAGGTACTCAAGTTCATTGTTATCGCATTCAGTGAGTCAATCAAAAAGCCACAATCACTGCCACCTTTTGATTAACTGAAAATCAGTTCTTAACTTGTTTTTTTTTTAAATATCTTGTTTTTTTTGTTGGGAGTGCTGTGCTTTTAACGTGAGAACTTAATTGTTATTTGATGTTATTATTGTACCATTCAAGGAGCTCCATTGCCAGTTCTGCAGTTACTGACGATGATGATCCCTCACACAACACAACAGTGGTGATGTCAAAGGCAAGAAGGTAAATCATCTGCACCAAAAATATTCTAAATGGACTCTTAACTTTTTTCATTTTGCTGTTGGAACTATAACTGTTGTTTTTTGTTGGCTTTTTTGGTTTACTGCTTTGTTCAAAGCTTAAGAACTTCCCTTGTTATTTATTCCCTTACCACTGAGTTTAAATTTGTATACTAGCAGTTGGGATACTATAATTTTGTTTGAAAAACTTTGCTGTACTGTTAGAAGTTTCATACAGATTTTTATTGTTCCTCGACTTTTAGAAGTATTCCAATGCATTAAAATCTTGGATGGAAGTATTGACTTTCAGAGTGTTTACGGTGTAATGTAATCTTGTCTGTAGTTCAGAGTCAAAACTGAGGGCTATTGAAAAGAAACAGAACATCGAAAGACGTTGGAAAATAGGCGATGATGAATTTGTGAAAGCGATAACAACTTCTGAGACATTGAAATACAAAAGTTTCAAATCGAAAATCTGAATTCTTTGGCCATAGAACGTCATTTACAACTTTTGTTGAAAGAACAATACTCATGTACGTAAGACAATTGCATTATGTTATTACATTTTTCTGACATTTTGTTTTATTTGCAGCCCATTTATTGACACATGCCAGTTTTGATCGTTTTGAAGTGAAGATGAATAATACTTTTTGGTATATTTTTACTTGCAGGAGGGCAGAAACAGGCTATTCGACTAGCAAGAAAGGTAAACAAACAAACAAAAAGAATGAAATCAGAACTAACGAAATATAACGTAAGACTATCTGTTTTGAAGGAGCAAGTGTCTTTGACACTTCAACAGGTCTCTTTTCCTGAAGCCAAAGACCTGCGTTCTCATGTTTATGATAACTGAAGAACATTACTTACCTGACCTGTAAAGCGAGGGTCCCCTTTTCATTAAAAAGAAAAATCGTTGAGCTCAAAGAATTGGAGAAGCAATGCTTTGAAGAACAGCACATGCTAAAATTAGAAGCCCAAGGATTACTAACATGGCGCTTACTGAGATCACTGAGTTAAATGATCTGAGCTCCTCAATCCTTGTAGGAGGCAACAGTCATACCAATGGCCGTTCGCTGATGCTAAAGGCACAAGCATTACAAATAGAAAGTGACATTGTTAAAGACAAATCGGTGTTTGAAACATTCAACTTTGATATTCCTGATTCTGTAATGGAACGTGAATCACAGCGAAATCTATAAAGAATGTGAAGAAAGTGAAAACAGTGAACCAGAAAATAGTCAATGTAATTCAGACACAGAGCTATGGATTCTGTGATACGGTAACAGATACAGTGATACGGATTCTGTCGAATTTTAACTTCTTTAATTTTGTTTGTAAGTATTTTAAATAAGAAGTTTATTTGTTACAGGGCCTCCGATGAAGGGGGGGGCCGGGGGACCTTGGCCCCCTATTTTTTTGCAAAAGAATAGAGTTTATTTCAGAAACTTTTGTTATGGGTGTTAAATTTTCCCTTGGCCCCCCACTTTTCAACCTTTGTCGGAGCCCATGTGTTATAGACCTTTTTCTCTCTCTTTTGGGACAAGAACTCAATGTTCAAGGTCAAATTACCATTCCTACATATTACGAATCACACTTTGTACAATTCCGAAAATAGAAAATTTCAAAATGATTTCAATAAGAACTTTGCAATTTTGCTCTAAATGCATTCCATTTTAATAGATGAAACTTGATTGTTTTAAATGTCTTAGGTGAATCTTTTTTTTAAAGCAGGCTGAAAACAAGATATTTCACAAACTGAGATCACAAAAGCGCATTTTCAAAAAATTCGAGTTGGGCTTTTGACTCTTTTTCTAGCTTTTCAGCAAAAACTGTGTAGACTAGCATAAATGTCTCTATTAATCACTCGAAATAATGAGAAATAGATAAAAAATAATTTCTCGAATCTTGGATCGGAATTCAGTACCATAATAACACTCGCCCCAGGCCCCTTTAGAGGAGATTATGGCTTTATTTGTCAATTTGAATTAAAATTTTGAGCCAAAGGATAAAGTTTTTATAGGCAAGATGAAACTTGATTGTTTTCAATGTCTTTGGTGTACTTTTTTCTTAAAAACAGAATAAAAACAAGATATTTCACAAACTGAGATCACAAAAGCACATTTTGAAAATTCGAGTTGGGCTTTTGACCCTTTTTCTAGGTTTGCAGCAAAAACTGTCTAAAGTAGCATAAATGTCTCTATTAATCACTCGAAATAATGAGAAATAGATAAAAAATAATTTCTCGAATCTTGGATCGGAATTCAGTACCATAATAACACTCGCCCCAGGCCCCTTTAGAGGAGATTATGGCTTTATTTGTCAATTTAAATTAAAATTTTGAGCCAAAGGATAAAGTTTTTATAGGCAAGATGAAACTTGATTGTTTTCAATGTCTTGGGTGTACTTTTTTCTTAAAAGCAGAATAAAAACAAGATATTTCACAAACTGAGATCACAAAAGCACATTTTGAAAATTCGAGTTGGGCTTTTGACCCTTTTTCTAGGTTTGCAGCAAAAACTGTCTAAAGTAGCATAAATGTCTCTATTAATCACTCGAAATAATGAGAAATAGATAAAAAATAATTTCTCGAATCTTGGATCGGAATTCAGTACCATAATAACACTCGCCCCAGGCCCCTTTAGAGGAGATTATGGCTTTATTTGTCAATTTAAATTAAAATTTTGAGCCAAAGGATAAAGTTTTTATAGGCAAGATGAAATTTGATTGTTTTAAATGTCTTGGGTGTACTTTTTTCTTTAAAGCAGAATAAAAACAAGATATTTCACAAAGTGAGATCACAAAAGCACATTTTGAAAAAATTCGAGTTGTGCTTTTGACTCTTTATCTAGGTTTGCAGCAAAAACTGTTTATACTAGCATAAATGTCTCTATTAATCACTCGAAATAATGAGAAATAGATGAAAAATAATTTCTCGAATCTTGGATCGGAATTCAGTACCATAATAACACTCGCCTCAGGCCCCTTTAGAGGAGATTATGGCTTTATTTGTCAATTTAAATTAAAATGTTTGAGCCAAAGGATAAAGTTTTATAGGCAAGATGAAACTTGATTGTTTTAATGTCTTAGGTGTATTTTTTTCTTAAAAGCAGGTTGAAAACAAAATATTACACAAACTGAGAATTCAAAAATGCGTTTTGAAAAAATTCGAGTTGGGCTTTTGACTCTTTTTCTAGCTTTGCAGCAAAAAACTGTGTGAACTAGCATAAATGTCTTATTAATCGCTCGAAGTAATGCTAAATTGACAAAAAATAATATCTCGAAGCTTGGATCGAAATTGAGTACCATTAATAACACTCGCCCCAGGCCCCTTTAGAGGAGATTATGGTTTTAATTGTCAATTTAAATTAAAAGTTTGAGCCAAAGGATAAAGTTTTTATAGGCAAGATGAAGTTTGATTGTTTTCAATGTGTTGGGTGTACTTTTTTCTTGAAAGCAGTGTTTCGAAATTGAATCTGGGTTGTTTTAATATTTAAACCTGTGTTTCTTCACCCTGGTTCGTGGAATCCAAGCAGATAACACATAACGAAATACAACCCAATTCCAAACTTGACTCCAATAATTTTCTCAACTCAAAAAGGCTATTTACAAAAAAATAATATAAACAATGCAAACGTAACTCTATAATAACTTTCGTACATTAAACTTAGTTCATAGTTTGAACTCCATAACTCTTCAACGTAACATGACTCTTTTTCGCAACATAACTCCTCAACTCTTTGAACATCTACCAAACAAAACTCTATAGAGAATGAAATAACGTCACGTGACGTACGCTAATTACAACACCCTCCCCCCCACAAAATAAGAAGAAAGGGTACTAACTAAACTGAAAAGATAAGCAAGTTAAGCAATGTTCAACAAGTTTTATTTTCAATGATCTCTGGTACGTCTTGATCACGAACGATAGTAATTTGAGGTTCTTCGGAATCTCGTTCAGTCTCTTCTGATGAACTACGAATCTCGATTGGATATAACTTTTGTATAGGACGTTTTATTGTTATATGCTTCTTTGCACTGTTACTTGTAAGTAACTCTACTGCACGAACAACACCGTCCTTTCCTGGTAGTAATTTTGTTACTTTCGCCATTCACCAATGTTGGCGTGGTAATTTACTTTCGTGTACGTATACGAAATCACCAATGTTGATATCCGAAGTTGTCTGTTTTCCCCAATTATGAAACTCACGTAATGACGTGAGATATTCTCTTTTCCAAGATTTTCTAAATTTTTCTATGACTGACGCTAAGTACCTGGAACGTTTACTCAGCTTCAAAACTTCTGAGCCAGTTTCTTCTTCCCCACACGATGTTCGATCGAGAAGTCTTCGTCCCATGAAAAGATGAGCTGGTGTTAATGGGACTTCACCCAATTCATTATACACATAGGTTAACGGACGAGAATTGAGAACTCCTTCTATTTCAATAAGTTCTGTTTCCAGTTCCTCATAAGTTAATTTCGCGTTACCCAAAGAGATCTTGAGACATCTTTTGACCAGACGCACACAAATTTAAAAAAACCACCCCACCAACTGGCCAGGGGAACATTAAACTCCCATTCAAACTGAACACGTCTGCTATGAATAAAGCTGTGAACTTTCGCATCCTTGAATATGTTTTCCCGTTATCAGATACGATAAGAGAAGGTATCCCTCGGCGACCAATAAGACGCTTCAAACAACGTATAAACGATTCTCCTTCGAGGTCAGGTACAAGCTTGAGATGTACCGCGCAACTATTTGCACAAGTAAATAGAGCAATATAGCATTTATTCATATTTGTGTCCTTAGCATAGATGTCTTTGAAGTAAAGTGGACCGGCAAAATCGACTTCAATTTTTGAAAACGCGTAAGTGTCTGAAACTCGAAACTCTGGCAGTGCCGGTGCTACTTGTGTACGGTACGCTCGACCTTCTATCTTTTTACAATGTACACACTTCGAAATTATTTTCTTCACCTTCTGTCGGCCCTTAATGATCCAAAACAACGCTCGTACTTCATTTAGTGTCTCACGTAGCCCGTTATGTTTGACAATTATATGGGATTCCCAAATAATCAAATCCGTGAAATGATGCTTACGAGGCAACAATATTGGAAATCTCGTTTCATACGGAAGATCCGCGTTTTCGATTCGTCCCTTACAGCGAATTATGCCTTTATCGTCATAAAATAATCCAAGCAAGTTGCTCGATTTCTCAAAATCCGTTTCTTGAGGAATGTAACTTTGAATCCGTTAATCCAAAGCTCACGAGCTTTCTCGATTTCATCCAGAGACAACATTTGCTTCGTTTCAATCGAGTCTTGATTCAATTTGGATTTTAAATTCTTTATGAACCTGAGAATATATGCAGTAACACGAAGGAGACTTTGTAAACTACTGTACCGCTTGCACTGAATCAATTCCTGTAATTTCAATGAAGGTTTACTTTTAGTATAAACCAATAAAGCCATCACGCTTTCTTTATTTGTCCCCTTTAATTCATTTAACTCGTTACTCATGCCTTTTTTTGCAATATCGTAACTCAACACGTTTGGCCATGTGGCCTCTGAACTCCTTAAAAATTTAGGCCCTAACCACCAAAGTTCATTTTCAACAATTTTTGTACACTTGACACCACGAGATGCAATATCATTTGGATTTTGATCGCTGGGACAGTATCTCCAATAGTTTTTTGGCGCAAGCTCGTGAATTTCATTAATGCGATTTTGTACGTACTGCTTAAATGTTTTATTTTCTCTGAATATCCACCAGATGACAATTTGCGAGTCTGACCAACAAAATGTTTGGTTAATGTTCAATGTAGCGCTTAACGCGTCCGATACCGTTTTCATAAGTCTGGCAAGAATTAATGCCACCATAAGTTCCAAACGTGGAACTGATTCCGATTTCAAGGGACTTACGCGCGTTTTCGACGCAATTAAATGAGATACAACTCTTGATGACGTTTCAACTCTTAAGTAAACGCTTGCTGCGTATGCTACTGTACTTGTGTCTGAAAAACCATGCAATTGAACTGGTTTTAGGTCTGGAACCTCGACCTCATGCATCACGGAACGAGGTAATTCGATTTTCGAAACCGATCTTATGTCGAGAATGATGTCACGAAATTTCGGTGCAATTTAAAGGCAGGATTACTGGCGATATCAATCCTAATGGATCATAAAATTTGGCTGTAGTGCACAGAATTGACCTTTTTGTAACCATAGTAATCAATGTATCTCTTACAATTTTTTCAAAGTCAAGTTTCAACGAATCTGTAATTAGATTCCAACCAATTCCCAATACCTTTGTATCTGGTTGTTCGTGATTGGGATCTTCCAGCACATTAGCATTTTTTGAAACGGGGGTGTACAAGGCCTCATGTTTTTTAGTTCAGTGGGCCATTGACAGTTTGAATAGTGTTCCGCACATGAAGGCGATGTCAGCTTCGCGATTTCACCAACTTTCTCACCTCCGCCATAACGTCAAAGTTCTAAATAAATGTTACTGTACAACTCTCTGAGTTCCCCGGTCACGGCACCATGTTGTGAAATTGAATCTGGGTTGTTTTTTATCATTTCTTTTAATTCTTTGTTATTTGTAACCCATTTACGAATGTTAAACCCGACTTTATGAAGAGAGTCCTTCAACTTTCTATACGTTTTGAATGCTTCATTGTTGGTAGAGAATGAGGATTGATAATCGTCAACGTATAACGATCTCAGTGTATTGTACACAAACAATGGGTCATTTTTCCCTTCGGTCATTATATGCTTACGCAATGTGGCGTTTAAAACAAATGGAGAACTAGTCAATCCAAATACGAGGCGCGTAAAGCGTAATTTTATCAACTCAGGATTCTCACTGCTCACGTCATTTACCCATAGAAACCGTAGAAAGTCGCGTTGCTCAGGGGGAATTTCGATATTAAGAAAGGCCCTTTCAATATCGCCGGCAATTGCCACCTTATGTATTCAGAAACGTAGTAACATATCCAAAATCATTGGCGTTAATGATGGGCCTTGTATTAAACAGTCATTAAGGCTAACTTCCCCTGATCTTTTACAGCTAGCGTCATAAACTATGCGCAATTTTGTCGTGGTTCTATCTTCTTTTAGTACTACATGATGTGGAAGATATGTTACTTGACCCGGTTCATAATTTTGTTCGATATCCAAAGTCTTGTCAACTATTTCAACAACACCTTCCTTTAACTGATCGTGAATAACCTTATCGTACTCGTTTAAGATTGTTGGTTTGTTCCTTAACCGTTTCAAAACTGAATGCAACCTGTTTTTGCATAACAGAAAAGTGTCTGAAATAGGCACGTGTTCGGGTTTAAACGGCAATTTTGCTTCATAACGCCGCCCATTATACTCAATTTCATTTTCCATGTAATTATCACAGAATGCTGGTGATTCTGATTTTACGCCTATACTTTCATAGTCCCAGAATTTATGAATTTGTTCATTTACTTCACTGTCACTATTGACTACTAAACACTCCGCCTTGAGAATGTGTGACTCGGTTAAATGGGTCGAGAACCGATGATCATTTGCATAACTAGGAGGCATGTCAACAGGGCCAGAAAGTACGTAACCTAGTTTGCTTTTCATTGCAATGGGTCCATCTCCCATTTCCCCCCGTGTGACTTGACCATCGATTAAGGACCAATAATGATCTAATCCAATCAGCAATTGAATTTCCAAAGAATCGTTGTTATCAGATTGATCTGCTAGTGGCAACCGACTCAAATGCTCATATTTTCCATAAGCAAACGCAATGTTTTGATTTATAATAGGTTCACACACATGATCAACACAATAAGCAGTTATGACAACCCTTTCACCATTAAAACAATGAACCACTAATTGTACTAGTTCAGCTTCTAGAATTTGGCCTTCATTTCCAAAAGTGTTAATTAAAATTGTTTCCTTGCCAATCGGTAATAAATTCAAGGACTTTTTTACCGACTTACTCAAGTACGATCTTTGAGAGCAAGAATCAAATAACATCCTCACCTGACAAGTACCATCCTCTTTATCAGAAGGATTCGACACAGATCCTTGTGCTGTTGGCATGAGAAACTGTTTTTTGTTCATATCATGATTTACCAATAAATTTGTAGTGGCTGGTTGTTTCGGTATCATACCCTTTGATGAGGCCTTATCCTGTCTAGCAATTCCAGATTGATTTCGATTTAATCTCGAATTCCTATTGTTGCCACAAATTGAGGTATGATGTCGCCCACCGCATACTCTGCACTTGCCTGTTCTCATGCAGTCTCTTGCAATGTGACTCCCCTTCATACATAAAAAGCATCTGCCTTTCTGCCGTTAAACCCTTCTTCTTGCAAATGGGTCTGTCAAATGGATCCCAGAAATGTCGGCCTCCGCAAAATACACACGATGGCTCCCGCTCACCTTGGTAACTTGCTCCTCCTTGGTTATAAAAAACAGAGGTCGTTGATGGTTGAATCTGATCAACTTTTCTTGTATTCCTCCTGCCCTCAGTAAACGAATTTGCAGCCCCAGCCATCGTAGTGTACTCGCATCTTTCTCTTAACTGCAACTCCTTTCCAAATTCCTGCATAACCCCATCCAAATCCCATTCTCCCGATAAATTTCTTGTTAATGTTATTCTCAATTCTGGCGAAATCTTTGACATAAGAATAGGTGTTACAAATGTTCCATAGCTATCGGAATTGATTCCAATACCTCTTAAACTCCGTATAACGCCTTCCGTTTTATCGTAAAGGGTCCTCAGCTGCTGAACGCTACTCGACTGTACATTCGGTAAATTTATCAAGGATTCCATATGGCGTGAAATAATTATTTGTTTATTTCCAAATCGTGATCTTAGCAACTCCAAAGCTTCAGTTTAATTCGTTTTAGTTACATTAATGCCGGTTAACGTTTCCTTCGCAATTCCACTCAAACAATTTAGTAGATACCGAAACTTGTCCACAGGCTCCAAACTTGGATGGCTATCAACAGTTGACAAAAAGCTGTCGTAAAACAGAGTCCATTTCTCCGGATCTCCATCGAATTTTGGTAGCTCGAGACTTGGGAGTTTACGTCTACATCCTTCTCCTGTTGATGATAAACGTGACGAAGACATAGATTCTGAGTTTTTCGATCTCTCTTTCTCATCACAAATGATTATCGATTCAATTATGCAGATAACATCTTGTACATTGCTTTGGAATTCGCCCTTTTCGACTACTTCTTTCTCTTTTTCTTCTTCATCTATGATGTCTTCAATTTTTTCGTCTAATTTTTCTATTATCCTCAATTGCTTTTCAAACGTAATTTTTGCCAAATTTAGTTTTGCGATCCATTCCTTGGTAGGATTCGTATTGTTATCCATTAGGCCATTGACAGTTTGAATAGTGTTCCGCACGTGAAGGCGATGTCCGCTTCGCGATTTCACCAACTTTCTCAGCTCCGCTATAACGTCAAAGTACTAAATAAATGTTACTGTAAAACTCTCTGAGTTCCCGGGTCACGGCACCATGTTGTGAAAATGAATCTGGGTTGTTTTTAATATTTAAACCTGTGTTTCTTCACCCTGGTTCGTGGAATCCAAGCAGATAACACATAACGAAATACAACCCAATTCCAAACTTGACTCCAATAATTTTCTCAACTCAAAAAGGCTATTTACAAAAAAATAATATAAATAACGCAAACGTAACTCTATAATAACTTTCGTACATTAAACTTAGTTCATAGTTTGAACTCCATAACTCTTCAACGTAACATGACTCTTTTTCGCAACATAGCTCCTCAACTCTTTCAACAATTACCAAAAAAAACTCTATAGAAATGAAATAACGTCACGTGACGTACGCTAATTACAACAAGCAGAATAAAATCAAGATATTTCACAAACTGAGATCACAAAAGCACATTTTGAAAAAGTCGAGTTGGGCTTTTGACTCTTTTTCTAGGTTTGCAGCAAAAACTTTGTAGACTAGCAAAAATGTCTCTATTAATCGCTCGAAATAATGCAAAATAGATAAAAAAAAAATTTCTTGAAGCTTGGATTGGAATTGAGTACCATTAACAACCCTCGCCCCAGGCCCCTTTGGAGGAGATTATGGCTTTATTTGTCAATTTAAATTTAAATTTTGGGCCAAACGATAAAATTTTTATAGGCAAGATGAAACTAGATTGTTTTCAATGTGTAGGTGTACTATTTTCTTAAAATTAGATTAAAAACAAGATATTTCACAAACTGAGATCACAAAAAAACGTTTTGAAAAAATTCGAGTTGGGCTTTTGACTCTTTTTCTAGATTTGCAGCAAAAACTGTGTAGACTAGCATAAATGTCTCTATTAATCACTCGAAATAATGAAAAAAAAATAATTTCTCGAAGCTTGGATCGGAATTGAGTAACATTAATAACCTTCGCCCCAGGCCCCTTTAGAGGAGATTATGGCTTTATTTGTCAATTTTACTTAAAATCTTGACTGAAGCGATAAAATTTTTATAGGCAAGATGAAACTAGATTGTTTTCAATGTCTTAGGTGTACTTTTTTCTTAAAAGCAGGCTGAAAACAAGATATTTCACAAACTGAGATGACAAAAGCACATCTTGAAAAATTCGAGTTGGGCTTTTGACACTTTTTCTAGCTTTGCAGCAAAAACTGTATGGACTAGCATAAATGTCTTATTAATCGCTCGAACTAATGCTAAATAGACAAAAAATAATATCTCGAAGCTTGGATCGAAATTGAGTACCATTAATAACCCTCGCCCCAGGCCCCTTTGGAGGAGAATATGGCTTTATTTGTCAATTTAAATTTAAATTTTGGGCCAAACGATAAAATTTTTATAGGCAAGATGAAACTAGATTGTTTTCAATGTCTTGGGTGTACTTTTTTCTTAAAATCAGATTAAAAACAAGATATTTCACAAACTGAGATCACAAAAAAGCGTTTTGAAAAAATTCGAGTTGGGCTTTTGACACTTTTTCTAGCTTTGCAGCAAAAACTGTATGGACTAGCATAAATGTCTTATTAATCGCTCGAACTAATGCTAAACAGACAAAAAATAATATCTCGAAGCTTGGATCGAAATTGAGTACCATTAATAACCCTCGCCCCAGGCCCCTTTGGAGGAGATTATGGCTTTATTTGTCAATTTAAATTTAAATTTTGGGCCAAACGATAAAATTTTTATAGGCAAGATGAAACTAGATTGTTTTCAATGTCTTAGGTGTACTTTTTTCTTAAAGCAGCCTGAAAACAAGATATTTCATAAACTGAGTTCACAAAAGCACATTTTGAAAAATTCGATTTGGGCTTTTGACACTTTTTCTAGCTTTGCAGCAAAAACTGTGTAGACTAGCATAAATGTCTCTATGAATCGCTCGAAATAATGCGAAATAGACAAAAAATAATTTCTCGAAGCTTGGATCGGAATTGGGTACCATTAATAACACTCGCCCTAGGCCCCTCTAGCGGAGATTATAGCTTTATTTGTCAATGTAAAGACCGACTATTGACCAGCATGCTTTGCGCGAAGTCAGTGATTTCGCACTTCACAGCTCTCAAGTTTCTGACTGTCAAAAACTAACTGATGTTCGTATCGGTGTAATCGTAGCTTTTCCGTGTAGCAAAGATAACCTTTTCTTTTCAATCGCCAAGAAGAGGCGTTAATTTTCTGGATATTTCACGTCTTTATGTGCATTTGATGCCCCTTTCGGGGATGTTAGTGACATAGAGGACAGGTAAATAGGATTTGTTTCTAGCCAAATCTAATTTTTTCATACTCAATAATTATCTTGCAATCCTATCATTGCCTGTTGCAAATAGACTAGTGGTTTGAACATAAACTGAGATGTATGCCATGTGTGTATTGTAACACTGAACATGTTCAGTGGATACCGTTAGCTTACTTTGAAAGCTATTTGTAGCATCAATGCATATTTGTGTCTGCTTAGAACTGTTTATGTGGAATCGTTGTGTGCAAAATTACAAGCATATTTTTCAAATTTTCTCTATAGCAATATTGATGTTACTGGAAGCAGTGAACAAAATCCAAATAGCATCACATTTGGGCCCAATTTTGAGAATCAGAATGATGATGAAAAGCACGAGACAGCACAAAAAGATACATCATCTCGCTTCTTTCGTTGGAATGCAATATTTGGTTTGTCATTTGGCAATCCCTTTTCTAACAACTTTGTTGATCAGCAAATAGAGGATTCTATTGATGACACACTAGTCTCTGACTTCAGCTCCTCAAATACCACACTTGAATCTGAATCTGATCAAGATGCTAGTTATGAAGAGAACAGGCTATTGGAGGGTTTTGATCTGTAAGTAACCCCAATTGAATGTATAATAATTCTAAAATTATATAAAGTCTAAAATTATGACAAACCATGAACTCTCTCCAACACTCTTTCTTGATAGCTCGGATCTGTTTAGGTAAAAATGAATGAAAAAACAAAAATATGAAAGGTAGTGTGTTATATGTGATGTTATTATTGGTATGCTTTTGTTAACTTTCACATGCTTGTGCTCGACAGATCTTCCAGCCCTTATATTTAAAGCTGTTTGAAAACAATTTATTTTCTCATGATATCTGTCCATTGGTACAACTTAACCTCCTTTACAGCCTTATTACTTTGATCTTTTAGTTATGATGAAATTCCAGCTGAAGTTTTGAACAGTGTGGATGAGCAATCTGATGATGATCAATCTGAAAAAACCATAACTATTATTGCCGAAAAGGAGGATTTACCAGGAGACCTAGCTTTTGAAATTATTTCACAAGAAGAAATAGCAATTGCTGGAGGAAATCAAGAGCTAGATGAAACTATAGGAAATGGTGTCAATCGACTGAAGACATATTTAAACAAAGAATTTGAAGGACTTCTGAACCAAGATGCAGAGAAAGACATGTTGACAGCAGTGAATATGCCACGTGTTATGGTCACAATTGCAAAGCTAGAAGAATTGCATGGTAGGAGGTGCAAAGAATTGCAGGAAGGAGTGCCGTGTGGGAGCGATGTAATATATAGTTCAGAGTTTGGAAAAGCATCAGTCCTTGTGTTATCATGGTCATGCAAAAATAACCACAGGGGAATCTGGAGATCTTCAGAAGTACTAAAATTTGTTAAAAATAACAACATATATGTCAACGATATAATGATTCCTGCAGCTGTGGCTTTGACAGGCAACAATTATTCAAAGTTTTCTCTCCTATGCCAAGCCTTAAAGGGAATAGAAGCATATATCAAGCACTCTCTAAAATTAGATAGTAGGGAGCCTGCGCAGTGTAGTCACATGTAACAGTGCATGCAACAGTGTAAAATGCAACAGTGCATGCAAATGCATGAAAAAAAGTGCACAAACAAGTTAGAAGAGGTATGCTAACAACGGTCATATTTATTCTTCATTGGCAGTGCCAGGTATCTAAACTTGGGACACAAGAGGTCATCAAAGCTACTGGCTAGGAACAAAGCCTTATCCATTTGTTGAACATATGTAGGTAGAAGGGAGTTCAAGAAATGAGGGCAGGGGCAAAATGACATGTGATGAGTCTGATGGCAATGAGTCAGAGGTAGGAAATTTTCAGGATAGCTTGGCAAATCAGTGGTCCAAACGTTTAAAGAGCCTTTGCTGACATATGTCCTTTGCGCTCGCTTCCATGCCGTGATGCAATTCTTCGCAGACTTTCTGGGTGTCAGAAATTGTTTTTTTGTCTGAACATGGCAACTCAAAATTTAGGACGGCCACGGCGCCAAGAAGCCAGAAAACATGTATATATTTTCGAATCTACGCTGAAACTTTGGAATGAACACAAGAAAGAAGTATCTGGCGATGACCCTGTGATGACCAATAACGAATTTGCGCTTTTTCTGTTAAACCAGTTGGCGGTGAAGCAGACACATTCCAAACCGAATTTTTTTGTACAGGAGCATAATTATTTCGACCAGGGAATTATGAGGCCAAAAGAGGGTCAGAAAAGCAGGTAAGTACGTTTTGACATACCTCCCCATCTCACAGAACTGCCTTATTTGCCATATCTAGAGGTAAAGGTTTATAATACAAGAAGGAAGAATTTTTAACTGTCTTACTTTTACCTGTCATGTTACCTTTTTCAAAACTGTCCTCGAGATAAACAAACAAGAGGGGACCTGAACCTAGTCAAGAGACCGTCGCACAGGGCAATGGCTTATTTTTCGAGGGCATTGTTAGTATTGGCATTAGTATTAGGTCCCTATAGTTATCTATTTGAAAGAGGTTTTTTGAAAGTAGTTGCAGTTTTACCTGATTGATGAGTTAATGTTTTGCTATTATTTAAAACCGCAATGTAATGGATCAACTAAGACACATTTTGTACATTTTCTAGCCAAAACAATCTTGATAGCCATAGTGGTGCATCATCCAATGCAAGTGTTACAACATGTTTGCCATCTGCTGAACTTCCTGTCACTTCTCCAACATCATGTACAGCAGCTGTCTGCATTGGTGAGCATTTTGTCAATTTTATTTTCTCATTTTAAAACTATAACTTTATGTTCAGTTGGCAGAAGATATGAAAATATATACAAGACTGCAGGGTCCACATCTCTGGACAAGGATATCATCTTGATTAGTAAACTTAGTACTTAGACACACCACACTACAAGTGTTATTGACCTTGTGAGGTAGGGAATAAAAGAAATAAAAACTCATGAAAGGAAAGGAATTTTGATGAAAGGTTCAAAACTCAGACATGCTGAATTCCATGTTTTGATCATAAATAATGATCTTAGGAAGTGTTGGTTTTAATACCATTGCAAACCCTATTTTAGTTTTTTGATGTTTTCTATAATTCCAACATTTTTTATTTTAGGTGAAAAACCAACCCCTGGTATTCAGAACCTTTCAAATAGTATGCATTTATTATATATTCATGTTTATTTTGTTGCAGAAACACAAAAAGAATCAACACCAGTTGCCTACAAAAATAAAAAGAGACAAAAATTGGAATTTAGTGCAATTGAAGTAGAACAAGAGCAGGAATCAGAAGGATCAGAAGCATCTGAAACAATTTTTGGCAGCACTGTTAACTCAGATATCAACAGAATGAGGCATATCAGCATGAACAAACAACTAGGGCAAATTTCTGGGAACCCCTTTGTAGAAGAAGGCTACAATTCTGAGTCAGACATTGATTCTGATGGCTCAGATTCAAGTAGCGCATATATAAGCACTGATGATGATGATGATGATGATGATGATGATGATGTTTATGATTCTTTGTCAAGTTCGGATGATGATGGCTTGACACAAGATCAAATTGATGAAATATCAATGCATATGACTGAAAATGCCAAAGAAGATTCCAGAGCCAACCTTGTTTCTTTAGTGACAGATCTAAATTTGACTAGAACATACTTCGTTGAAAATGAGCAATGTGAAAAGTTAGACAACCTGATAGATAGACCACTATAGATAGACAACCTGGTGCAATATATGCATCATCAGAGGTGAATTCAAAAGAAATGAAAGCAAAAGTACACAAAACGATGGAAGATCTGTATCAAACAAATATTGAAGATGCAGAATATAAGCTTGCAAATCAAAATAGAGTTTTAGTGTCACTTAAGAAGCTACAAGAGTTGAAAGGGAAGTTTTGCATGCAAAAACTGAACAATGGTCAACTATGCAATGAAGTTTTGAATTTTGAAAGTGATGTGAAAGGCTGTACAGTAAAACTTCGCTGGTCATGCAAAAATGAGCACTTTGGAATGTGGGTTTCCTCTGAGATAAGTTCAAAATCTCACTATGCAGACATTTAATTGAATGATCTGTTGGTCACTGCCTGCGTATTATTGTCTGGAAACAATTACTCAAAATTTGCAAGGTTTTGTAAGTTTCTTGGGCTTGCAATCCCAGATCAATCTGTCTTTTACAGAAATCAGAGATTGTTTTTCACACCTGTAATTCTACAAATGTAGGACTCAATGAAATCAAGCATCATTACTGTGATAAAAACATATAATGATCACATTCTTGGAGGAGATGGAAGGAATGATTCACCTGGCTTCTGTGCACGATTTTGTGTATATGTCACCATGGAGTTGATAACCAATGCAGTTCTCCATTTAGAAGTTTTGGACAAGAGAGACTGGTGGCATATCAACAAATATGGAAAGAGAAGGTCTCACCCGTACATTGCTGCTTCTTATGAAATGCTTGGATATTTCAGAGATTACCACTGATGCCTCAACTTCAATAATGAAGAGGATTCAGGAGCTTAGAAGTACATGCTTATATTTTCCCATGTTATCTAATAATGTTATGCAATATTTTTTACCCATTCAGGTTTTAGTTTTGGGGCAGGTTCAACTGATTTAAGTAGATACATTATATTTGAAAAAAACTCATAGTTTTTGCCAATGAACCATCAAAGAAAGCCTTTCACGTGTTTTTTGGTTGACACAAAAGTTTAAGCTAATATCCAGATCTATGATATTCCTTCTGCTGTATCAGCCGGTTTTCTCCATAGTTTGTTATTGCAATTGTTAATATTTTTACTCTTTCTAGATTAACAATTGAATGCTCACTTGCCATGTGCATTTTGGACTTAAGAATTCATAATTAATCTTTTCATTTCAGATTCACTCCCTGAACTGTCAAAGTTAAATCACTGCCTTGATATTTGGCATGCTGCCAAAAATATTTCTAAGAAATTGCACAAAACAGCACAAGACAAAGCTGCAAGATCACGCGAAATGGTGATGCTGAAAAGCTGAAAGATATTTGGATTGGTGTTTTGCATCATGTATGCAATGAACACATATGGGCGGAATCTGAATGTCTGCATGGCCCTCTCTCTCGTCAACTGAGCCAAAGGTGTACCTCTTAAAGAATTCTGTTGCTTTGGAAAAGCTCAGATCAGTGGTACTTGACAGGAAGCTTTTGTCAAACCTATCATACTATTCAAAATTCAGGCATACAGGCATGATAGAAAATTTCAACAGTATGCTGATGAAGTATGCATCTAAAAGAAATGCATATGACTATCCATATTTCAAGACACGGATGGCTTTGGCTGCTATTGACCATAATATACATTTAAATCGACCTTTAGCTATTACACATAATGGTAAACAGTGTTTTAAAAGAAAATACAATAAAAATTCCAGGAAATTTACTGCTGAACCTGTTAAGGAACAGAAAAGCTACAGCTATATTCCATACTGTCTTGCAAAAATTGTTGTTGAAAGATAAGAAAAGAAAGACACAGCAATGTAAAGGCTTGTCAGAGTTCCAAATGACCCTAAACTGATATCCCCAACTTTAGACTTAGTAACCAAGCCACCACCTACAAGCCAATTAGTTGCAGAAAAATTAAAAAATTAGCAAACTGTCTATAGGCAGCCTTTCTAAATGAATTCATTGTAAATGTCATATGATCTGCCCTAAGATCACATCTTGCAGTTATGTTCAGCTTAAGAACATCCCTGTCCAGACACAGCTTCTTAAACATATAATATGAGGTGACACATATTGTCCTCTTGCAACATTTGTTTTCTTCTTCCTTTCCCATTTCAGTGCATACACCACATTTACACCAGGGTAAGGCCATTGGTCTGTTAGCTTTGGGATTTGGACTTTGAATCACATGCACCAAATCCTGCACAAATTCAAAGCTCCCTTCTCCAGTCACAGCAAGATCTCCTATCAAATTGTGCAGTGTCTCAATTGGAAGGTCATTTATTACATTCTGAAAAATGAAAGTTACTCTTGTCATTGATAATTTCAGTAAAATTTTGTTTTAATTTTAGTTCAGTTTTCATTTTCAAAATTCTACAACATACAAAAATTTATTAAATAAACGACATTTAATAAAATTGTAACAACAAGGTTAGCAGAAATTAATACAGTAACACTAAATATGTTTGGAGTGGAATTTCTTAAGGAGGAGTTCCCTCAATGGGTTGAATAATAGCGGAGAAAACAATACCTGGACTCTTTGTTTTGCTTGAATTATTTCTTGTTCCATATTTATATGCCCATCTTGTACTTCAGCTGCCTGCTCAATTTGGTCAACAGATCCTGGCTGAAATGAAAATATTCAACAGATTTGGACATAATTTATAATATTGTATTTCCAGATGGAAGATTCCAAAGTGAAAAGTTTGACATGTGACAGAAAATGGTTTTCCTGCAAATCCTAAATAGGCACTGCAGGGGTCAAATGTTTAGGGCCTAGGTTGAGATTATAGGAAGGATTATAAAAAATGGGGAGGTACATGTTTAAGGGGCACCCTAAAACATTTTTTAAAAAAGTCAGAGAGGTTTAAAAGGGCTGTTTTGGGACATAGATGATTTAGATGTGATTAGTGATGTGATTAGTGATGTTAGTTTCTGACCTAGTTGTGAGCAGTCCTGCCAAACAGTTTCAGAGGCCCTGGGGCTAAATGGAATAACAAGAAAGTTTTTATAACAAGCCCTTTATATTAGCTTAAAATACATTTCAGAATATTTCTTAAAAGTCATTTCTTGCAATTATTGATAATGTTGTACTATACTGATTGCATCATTCTTAAAACGAATTCATTACTTACAATTCATTACAGCCTGTAAAAATTTCAGATCATGACTCCAAAAGGTTACCCACCCACTGCTCACTTTGTCCATTTTATATAAAACATGGTTACTTCAAGATATTTTTGTTATTTAGTTGGCAAAAAAGGAAATATGTTAGCAACAAAGGGGCATTTTACTTGAATTTTCGAAAAGTGTGTGCAGGGCACGTATTATGTCTGCCCCCAGTCTTATGTCTATGACTTAATTTATTTTAATTGAATGTGAATAAATGTATGCTGTTTACTTTGCCATTGGAGCACCACTCTATGACTGTTCCACGTTTCTTCCTCCCACAAGCACATGCGTCAGTGCATGCCAAATTCGAATCTTTACACGGACATCCACGGCGTTTCCCAGACCTCCTGGCACAAGTGGTGTTACATACACAAGTAGGCCTCTGTTAAAAAAAAGGCCAAAAAAGTACAAAAATGGTATAAAGCGGAGCTTGATATTTTTTCTAAAGAAATATTCGTCACAGTTCATGAAGTTAAGTCATGATCTTGGTGCTCTCTCTGGGCCTAACAACATCAAGATGGGGCCGGTAGGAAATAAGGCAACAGCTACAGATAAGTAAGAAAGTAGGCATAATTTACTAAAAAGGTCAGCCTACCTCAAGGTCGCTGTCTCCTTCCCTGTCATTAAACGAATTATCAATTTCTTCGTGAACAGCAATTGGTGGTCCGTAGACGTTCGTCGCCATTGCCATTCTCGAAACGTTTTGCAGGCGCGCAAAGCATGAATGTCAGCAAAGGCTCTTTAAGTGTCATTTTTCATCAGGAGAATATATATTGATGGGCCCAAATTTTAAGTCTGAAATTTTTGAGTAATTTCTGCATGATACATGATATGACGACAAACTGTTTTTAACAAACAGGCAGCACACACCCTATGGAATTGCAAAGGAAGCTGCCAAAGGGGCTGTCCATGCAAGTCAGCAAAGAACTCTTGCACAGATGATTGCAGATGATTGCAATGCACAACATCATCCAAAGACGTCATCCTACACCAGCAGGACAACGAGACATGGCCTCAGAGCAAGAAAAAAGGTGCCAGGATGCCTATATTAATGCAAAGGTATGATTTGACACATTAGGTAAAGTGTACAATGCAATTAACATTTCATGTTACCAATTCCCTCTAAATGTTTTTTTAATCTATTGGATGGTGTTTAAAAAATTATTTCAAAAAGACTAAAGCTTCTTTTTACTCATTTAATCATACAGCTGGAAATTTACTATCAAATTAAAACTACATTATTTTTGGAAATTTCAGCAAACATGTTCAGCAATGGAAAAAGATGAAATTGTTGAATTTTTGGCTACAATGGCAAAATTTTCCCCTAGTTTGTTGACGCAAGTAAACTTTGTCGTCAGCAGAGAGAATCAAGGAGGGCAACGATTGGAGTCATTAAATGATCAAACCCCAGAATGGTGTGTCTGTGGTTGTTGCAAGGACATGGACAATGAGAGAGAAAATGTATGCTGCAAGGATGCATTCAAAAGCCACAACCATCCACTGTTTGAAAACCATATATTGACAGAACACAACACACACCAGATATGAACAGAACACACCAGATATGAAAGTTAATTATTGAACCGGCCTAAAATTATGGTGATAAAACCACATCTGAGCTGGAAAAAGTCGTACAATGAAGTTCGGATAAATTTTCAAAATGAAGCCCTAAGTTGAATTGGTGTATGGCATCTCGCAGCCTTGCGCTATTTTTTTCAATATCAAATTCAATATCAAACCAAGAACAGCCTCGATTCAGACAATGCGAAATAACACCCCTGCCGAGACACCATTAGAGTACTATCATCGTACACTAGCTATTCCATTCCTGGACCACATTATAACACAAATTTCCGACCGCTTTTCTGACAGAAACATGGCATTGCTCGATGGCTTCCAGGCACTACCCTCAAATGTGGTTTGTGAACATGAGTGGAGAAGGGGTTTTTCAAAATTCCTTCAAAATTACATGGATGATCTCCCAGAGCCGCGGTTAGTAGAAACAGAAATGGAAATGTGGGAAGAGTCATGGAAAAGGTTCAATAAATCACTGCCATCAACCTTAAACACTCTACTCCCAGCAATTGACAAGCTAACTTTCCCGAATATCTACGCTGCTCTCCAAATTCTTGCCACACTTCCTGTCACCTCTTGCTCATGTGAAAGATCAATATCAGTTCTGCGTCGCTTGAAAACTTACTTGAGAAGCACAATGTCTGAAGACAGGCTTAATGCATTATCACTTCTCCATGTCCATAATGACATTGAGTTGGACGTTGATAAAATTATAGATAATTTTGCACGCAATCATCCCAGAAGAATTAAAATTCTTGTTATTTTTAATGATCCTTAGTTAAAAAGTATATTGTAAGGTAGGAGAACATTTTTTGGAATTAAGAGAATGATTATCATTTTCAATTTCGTTTATCTTAGTATAACCGTAGTATAACATTAGATCACGTTTTGTTTATTTAGTTGTAAAAGTACGAATTATGTTCTGTTATGTTTGAAATATCAAGTTTTCTTGATTCGGCATACGAAAGATAAAGGATATAAATTTCAAAACATATTATAGCTACTCTTGTATATAGATCATCGAAACCGATTTGAATATAGGGTGTGGTAATTTTATCGTGTGTGGCACATTCAAAGTTGAGCACCAGCAGAAAATTTTCTGCATCCGCCCCTGATATTATAAGTCTTCATGACTCCTTGTAGCCCATATTTTCATTCGTTGGGGAAGGATAGGCTTCTCTTATCATTCTCACAACACATGCTGGGTTAGGTTTTCTGTTACCCCTGTCCAACCTTCCATACTTCCACATGGTAAACTGACGGTAGGCAGCCTTTCTCATTGCATTTGTTGAGAAATCAAATTCCTCTGCCCTTGTATCACAGTGGTATTTAATTGCCAGTTCCAAAACATCTCGGTTTATAATACACTGTGCAAACATCTGGTAGGAAGTAACACATGTGCGTTTTCCACAATAGTGGTTTTCTTCTGCCTTGGGCGATGGCATGCACATCTTGCAAACGCACCAGTCAGGAGCATCACTATCATCTTCAGGCTGCTGATTTTCTTTTTTAATGAAATCTACCATATTCTTTATGTAATTGAGGCTTCCATTTCCTGTACATGCAATCTCTATCACAAGTTTTTCTAGGACTTCTTTTCCTTGGTTCTCTAGGTATTGCTTGTGTAAAAAAGTAAATGTAATTGCTGACTATTTCCAAGCACGATGTCAATTGATATATATCGCTAACAATTCTTTAGCCAGATACAAAATGAAGTTTCAATAGAATATCTCAAAAGTATTTGGTGCAGAGCTTATTATTGATTCTAGCTTGCAAAGAAGGGCACAGTTAATTTTGGCCAGATTACTATTTTTTCTCTTATGGTACATAATAAAAATAATTACAACAGAAACTTTTCATTTTGAAT